ACTGCAGGAAGATGAGCAGCTAAATGTATTCTCTTTCTGGAGCTGACGAGGGATGATGTTGTCCCACTATTAGGAAGACCCAGGCCAAAGGCTATTTCAGCGAGAATGTTATCAGTATTATTGTGTATTAAACCAACGATGGAATCCACATTAAATGTAAAACAATAGAATTCTAAAGAGCTAAAGTTAAGAGGCTCGCCATATGTTGGAGGAAAGAACCTGAAGGACACAATGAGAACCGTATGTAATGTAATCACAGGATTACGGTTCTATAGAACTGAGCTACTAGAACTTGATCCCATTATAAGTGGTCGACAAAACGAGGGTTCTATTAAATCTGGGATCGATTAGCATTAGGACCCATTAGGACAAGAGCCCTTTAAGAATGTAACTTACTTCACCAGTAACAAGACGGAACACTTAGTTTATAATTGTCTCTGGGAGGAACATCACCCCCCCCCCCTTCTGGTGTCACTTAGTAACACTATGGCAGGATGTCCCCTTGTGCCCCCCCACTACTGCTCTTCCTCTACTTGTCTCCTCCACTTCCCTCTTCACGTGTCACATATCACCCACCTGTCATACACACCTTTCCTTTTCCCTGCTCAATACTCGTCCTACCTTACCCCTGTGTGTATATTGTCTCTCTCCCCTCTCAGTCATACATTCATACATACCTCCTCTCCGCCCCCACAGAGTCATGTCAATATGCAACATTTTGTGACCAGCTTTGGACTGTGCTTATATTTATTTCCTGTTAAATATTTATACACGAAGTTGGTCGCGTAAACCTGAAGATTAAATGGGCCTCTTTTATTCTGCCACACCTCTCTCACCTCTCTCACCCTTCTGTCACACCTCTCACCCTTCATCACACCTCTCTCACCCTTCTATCACACCTCTCTCGCCCTCTCTATCACACCTCTCTCACCCTTCTGTCACACCTCTCTCACCCTTCTGTCACACCTCTCTCGCCCTTCTATCACACCTCTCTCACCCTTCTATCACACCTCTCTCGCCCTTCTATCATCACACCTCTCTCACCCTTCTGTCACACCTCTCTCACCCTTCTGTCACACCTCTCTCGCCCTTCTATCACACCTCTCTCACCCTTCTATCACACCTGACAGGTACATCATACATCACCTAACACACAAGGGGGTCTTCTGTTTACCTGTTCACCGTATGTTCATCAATCATTGTGTTATTCTCCCCCTTTGTCTAAGAATCCATAATTTTCCTTCCTGGACCCTGAAACACAACATAACTTAACCTAATCTAACCTAATTTTACTTAACCTAACCTAACCTACCCTAACCTAACCTAACTTAACGTAACCTAATATAACTTACTCTATGTGTCATGGGAAATACAGTACGTTGCTGTTAAGGGATGCTTCCAGACACACACACACACACACAAGAACAAACTCATATATAATCATATTTACCCAGTTAGCGGCACAAGTGATCCAATTCTCACTGACGGGTCAAGCAACAGGTGACGGCGGTAACAGTACAAGTGACATATCTAAATAAGAGTCACTTTAAAATAGTTGTTATTTATAGAGCAAGTATTCCGGATGTAAACAGATGCATCTTCCTTCCCATCCCTTGAGTGAAACAGAATCAACCAATCAGAACACTTGTAACCACCACACACCCGTTCATTGGTTCAATCTCCCTGCAAACTTCAATATAGAACAGGAAAATGATTGCCTGTCAAGATAATTCAAAAAGACATTTTCTGTAAGATTTTGTTTATTGGTGTAGCTAAAAGGCAAACTCCAGGGTGCGTGTTGTGAATTTCTAACCACTTATCCTGTTGGCCAAGTTGTCGAGGGTGTTTGTGCTGGTCGACTGATAGTGATGAATATGTGTCCGGGGTAAGTGAACGTGCCTGTGTGTGTGTGTGTGTGTGTGTGTGTGTGTGTGTGTGTGTGTGTGTGTGATGGTAGTAGTGATAGTGGTTCTGATAGTAATAGTGGTGGTGATAGTGATAGTGGTGGTGGTGATAGTGGTGGTGGTGGTGATAATAGTAGTAATAGTGGTAGTGATAGTGGTGGTGATAATAATAATTAGTGAGTGATACTGTCAATAGTGGTAGTAATGATAAATTGATGGTGGTGGTGATGAGTAAATAATTAATAACCGCAGATGTTACAACAATCACCAGTCGGGCTTAATGGTGAAATCATCCTTCATGGCACCGCCACAACCTCTTCCTCCTCCTTACATCCTGCCCCCTCCCCCGCCCCGCCATCCTTCCCTCCTCCCTCCCTCCCCCCCCATCCTTTCCTCACTCCCCACCCATCCTTCCCTCCTCCTCCCCCCATCCTTCCCTCACTCTCCCTCCCCCATCCTTCCCCTCACTCCCTCACCCCCCCATCTTCCCTCCTCCCTCCTCCCTATCCTTCCCTCACTCCCTCCTCCCCCCATCCTTCCCTCCCTCCCCCCACCCTTCCCTCCTCCCTCCCTCCCCCCATCATTCCTCACTCCCCTCACTCCCCATCCTTCCTCACTCCCTCCCCCCCATCCTTCCTCCTCCCCTCCCATCCCCTCCTCCCCTCCCTCCCCCCATCTTCCCTCCTCCCCTCCTCCCCCCATCCTTCCCTCCTCCCCTCCTCCCCCATCCTTCCCTCTCCCTCCTCCCTCCCATGTCTTCCTCCCTCCCCTCCCTACCCCATCCTTCCCTCCTCCCTCCCTCCCCCATCCTTCCCTCACCCCTCCTCCCCCATCGCCCCTCACTCCCCTCCTCCCTCCATCCTTCCCTCACTCCCCTTCCTCCCCCATCCTTCCCTCCTCCCTCCCTCCCCCCCATCCTTCCCTCACTCCTCCCTCCCCCATCCTTCCCTCCTCCCTCCACTCTCAAAGACTCTTACGCTAAATTATTCCTCTAACCCACCAAATAATATATATATATTTTTTTACTCAGACGTGGGTTAGCAATTACGGGTCCACATTCTCAAAAGTTACCATGTTAATTTTTTTCCATAACTGAATATATTAACTATTTAACTTACGCTGGCTGTTAAAACTTGGAATCCTAAAAATCCATATATCACATGTCCAATTTTCTACTAACTATATAATATGCGAGCTTTATGAACCTAACCTAACCTAACCTAACCTGACCTGACCTAAGACACTTCTAGCGTAGTCAAGTGTGTGTGTGTGTGTGTGTGTGTGTGTGTGTGTGTGTGTGTGTGTGTGTGTGTGATTCTGAAAAGCGCATTGAGTTGGTATCCGATAGAGCGTCGTCAAATTTGCACTTAACCGTAAAGGAAAATGAGATGAGACCACCACCAGTTTGGGAAGAAAATCATTATGTAGTACTGTGGGGGGAATGCGGACCCAGAGCAGGATGTCTCGCCATTACGCCTTGGGTGGTTAATATACAAGTGCTCAATAAAGGAAGATGAATATAAAAAAAAGCTGAACTGAACCATTCCAAAACAGAATAACACGAAAGCATTTTTACGCTTCCGTCACCGAATAATGGGGGGGGAGGTGGTGGGGGGAAGAGGTGGTGGGGGTGGATGGTCGGGGGAACGGGAAGGAGGGGGGCAGAGGAAGGGGAGGGGCGGGGTAAAGGGGAGAAGGGACGGGTGAAGAGGGAAGGGGAGGTGGAGGTGCAGATAGTGTTCTGTCAAGTATCTCAGTATTGTTAATATTGGACAGACTATACTGACGGGACTCACTAAATTACTAGACGGTAATTCTGTGCTCCGGAAACTGAGTCAAAAACCCTGCCAAGAGTGTTCACTAACGAGAGCTTCATATCTGATTATTTAAAAAAAACGCTCACATAAATATAAATGAAATTGCGTATAATTTATCACAATTAGGTTTTTTTATGTAATATAATGGGCGAATTTCAGAGCAGATGAAATATCAAGGACACACGTACACAATCACACACACACACACACACACACACACACACACACACACACACACACACACACACACACACACACCTTTACACATAAATACACATTAAAAACGTCTGTGCTCTATTTTCACTACAAATAAAACAATTAACTAAAGGGGGACAAGTTGGTGGTAACATCAACATGAAGAACAAATTATCCACCAACAAACAGTTAAGTAAACAAGAAGATGATTTGGTATATTTGTTGAGGATATCGACTCCTGTTCGATCGGAGAAATTGACCTGTAATTTAATTTTCTATTGTCATTAAAAGAAAATTATTTGAATATTTGGCCATTTTTTTTCTTTATTAAAACTTAAGAAATAATACATAAAGTGATTGATCCATTGCTCTAAGTTTCACCAATATAAAAAATACTTAAACAAAAAAAACACTAGACAATACGATACATGAACCGGATAAGAAAAATATATCCAGTTTATAATCAAGTAAGGTAAATATTATCTCCTGACGCTAACTGTATGTTCTAAATTATCCATCAAGTCTCAGTAAAATTATGATTTCATATTGAGTGTTATTTTACCGTGTGTGTGTGTGTGTGTGTGTGTGTGTGTGTGTGTGTGTGTGTGTGTGTGTGTGTGTGTGTGTGTGTGTGTGTGTGTGTTTTAAGCTGTTGTTAGACCGTTAAATACTTATATATTACGAGGAAAATTTCTGTAGTTACGATCCTTTAAAACCCCATCATTGTGCCCTAAACATCACCAATTTAGAGGAAAATTCAATGTACGATTTTTTTACACGTCCATCTAAGTGACGGAGCCTAACCGAGCAAGACAGATACGAAAATAGTCACCTGAGTTTTTATATATAAATTGTTAATGAATAGTGTATTTACTAACCAAGAATCCATGCATAATTAAGATCGTTAAGGAATGTAGTTATTGAAGCGCATGAATACATTATAACGAGAGAAGTGTTCTGAAATCTTGGCGGTTAAGGACGAAAATTCAACCTTAGGAACAATAGAGAATCAGCAGCCCGGGGGGGAAGAGGTTTGTACGAAGCGTTATGACACACTGGTGGTGGTGTGGAGTGTCTGACCCCACTTCCTATGGTTGTTTAAGTGTGTCTCCGCCAGCAGCCTCCAGCTCAGTCCTGCCCCGACCACCATGGCTGCTCCACCTGTTATCCTGTCTGCTGTGTGGCTCCTGTTCCTCCTGCTGTGTGGCTCCTTTGCTGGTGAGTACCTGCTTACTGAACTGCTTCTGCTGTTTAGATGTGTACCCGGTTCTGTGTGCTTCTGCTGCCGTGATGAGTACCGTGTAGTGTGTAGTAATGCTGCCGTGTTCATGTGTACATGATCCTACGTACTACTGCTGCTGCGTTGATGTGCACCTGCCGTGTGTACTAATACTGTCGTGTTCATGTGTACCTTGCTGTGCTGGCGCTAAGAATATTCGGTCCTGAAAATGTGGTCCCGAAGATTGGTCCCCTTGAAAATTGTGACCCTAGGGAAGTGTTAAGGAGAGCGCTATCACCTGGAGATTTGTTTTGTTTGTCTAGAATGTTTTCAATTATGGTGGGGGAAATGTGATAAAGGAGTAACTAAACTAACCTAACCTAACCTAACTTAACCTAACCTAACCTAACTTAACCTAACCTAACCTAACTTAACCTCACCTAATTTCCTGCGACCCCCCATATCTATATATATTTACTTATCGTATGTGTATTATAGCATGTGTATATATATTTTTTTTATTAATAGGTCATCTCAAACACTCTACCTTTCACACACACACACACACACACACACACACACACACACACACACACACACACACACACACACACACCTCTCTCTCTGCACTTCAACATATTGTCCCTCCCCAAACGCACTTCTCTCGGCCAGACACCTCACTCTTTCCTCATCCACCTCCCACCACATCACTCTCACCATCACCTCTCACCATCACTCTCCTCAATTCATCACTCTCCTCACCATCACTCTCTCACCACCACCCTCTCACCATCACCCTCCTCACCATCACTCTCTCTCACCACTACCTCACCATCACCTCTCACCATCACTCTCTTGACATCACCCTCCCCCATCACCTCCCCACCACTCACCTCCCACCCCACCACCCCCCCACCCACCCTCACCCACCTCCCCACCATCACCCCCCCACCACCTCCACCCATCACCTCTCAACCATCACCCCCATCACCTCCTCTCACCATCACCTCCCCCACCCACCTCCTCACCACCACCTCCACCACCACCTCCCCACCATCACCTCTCCTCACCATCACCCTCCTCCGCACCACCTCCCCACCACTGCACCTCCTCACCCCACCTCTCCTCACCACTCCTCACCTCATCACCTCCTCACCACTACCTCCCACCTCACTACCTCCCACCACCACCACTCTCACCTCACCTCCTCACACCATCACCTCCTCACCACCTCCTCCTCAACCCATCACCCCCACCATCACCCTCTCACCAATACTCTCACCATCACTCTGTCACCATCACTCTGTCACCATCACTCTCTCGTTCATCACTCGTCACCATCACCTGTCACCCATCACTCTCACCATTACTCTCACCATCACTCTCTCACCATCACTCTCCTCACCATCACTCCTCCTCACCATCACTCTCTCACCATCACTCTCTCACCATCACTCTCTCTCACCATCACCCTCTCACCATCATTCTCTCTCACCATCACCCTCTCACCATCACTCTCTCACCATTACTCTCTCTCTCACCATCACTCTCTCTCACCATCACCCTCTCACCATCATTCTCTCTCACCATCACCCTCTCACCATCACTCTCTCACCATTACTCTCTAACCATCACTCTCTCTCACCATCACTCTCTCTCACCATCACTCTCTCTCACCATCACTCTCTCTCACCATCACTCTGTCACCCCAACAGCTGGTCTGGACTGCACGGTGCGAGAGGACGAGATCGCGTGTTCGTCTGAGGCCAAGTGCGTCAAGATGCGTTACGTGTGCGACGGCGACAACGATTGTGCTGACGGCGAGGATGAGGACCCGGAACTATGCTACGTGGGTCTTCTTTTTACGTGTTGTTAGGTTAGGGTTAGGTTAAGGTTAGGTTTAGGTTAAGGTTAGGTTAGGTTAGGTTTAGGTTAGGTTAGGTTAGGGTTAGGTTAGGGTTAGGTTAAGGTTAGGTTAAGGTTAGGTTTAGGTTAGGTTAGTTTAGGTTAAGGTTAGGTTTAGGTTAAGGTTAGGTTATGTTAGGTTAGGTTAGGTTAGGGTTAGGGTTAGGTTAAGGTTAGGTTAGGTTAAGGTCTGACTGGGCTGAGGTGAGAGGAGGGGAGACAGTAGTACCCCACAATGATACACTTCCTCTCTGCCCTCTCTGGTATTGTTCACCCCCACCCCCCCCTCTCCAAACCACTCTCACACACTCATTCCTGATCCCCATACACACTCACCCCCACTCACACACACTCTCTCTCCTCCCAGCCCCCTCTCACACACACTCTTACATCATCATTCACAGAAATTTGAACGTTCATTGTTTCCTTGAACTATGACTGAGGGAATGTATCTTGTTAAGTGTCGTATTGTAATATTTTAGACGCCAATTTGAGTTTGGTTTGTGTTTGGTAATGTTAGGTTGTTGGTAGTGCATTTATAGTCGATGCTGGGTTGAAGAAAACAATAGTGAAATTAATCCTTTGAAATTTTGAATATATTTTACTCTCTCTCTCTCTCTCTCTCTCTCTCTCTCTCTCTCTCTCTCTCTCTCTCTCTCTCTCTCTCTCTCTCTCTCTCTCTCTCTCTCTCTCTCTCATTTAGTTAATATCAGATGTACTACAAAGACTTTTAATTTACTTACAAAGCAACAAGTTAACAGGTCGTTACTTCTGCATTTCTGGGGATTTTGACGAATGGAAAATAACATGACACACTGAATTACTGATCTACGAGCATTGTGTTGTGGTAGAGACCCAAACACTGTCAGTTACATATTATTATTATTATTATTATTATTATTATTATTATTATTATTATTATTATTATTATTATTATTATTATTATTATTATTATTAAATCCTCTGTTAAACTAAGTCTCAGTTCCAGCTACTTACATTATCAAGAATATTAGAAGCTATTAATTAACTCTTCAAATACAAATAGTCACATATAGTCAAACAACAATAACTGACAAAGCGTGTTATGAGTTGAGGTACAAATTATTGGAAAAGCTTAGGCTAATGACTATATCTGTGATGTTAAGATGGAGTTGTGTTTCAGGTCTTCAAGTCGCACTTCGGGTGTGATAAAGGGGAGGTGAACTGTAAGAGAGACGGCGTGATGGAGTGCATGAAGGTGTTGAACTACTGCCAGCAGATTGACCCAGTCTGTGAGGGCGACGTAGACCCTAAGATGTGTAAGGTGAGTCGCCTACCCTCACACACACACACACACACACACACACACACGTTAACATTCTAAAGTTAACTCCTCATCAGTATACTGTAGATGAGAGAACACATTTACTGTCAGTCTCTCTCACTACCTCTCTCACTCTCTCACTGTCTCAATCTCTCTCACTCATTTTTTCCTCCCTCACACAGGTCCTCCTCGACAACACTGTGCAGACCTTCAACTCCATTTCCCTCCCCGCTGAAGGTCCCTCGGGTAAGTCCTCCCTCGGGTAAGTCCCCCCTCGGGTAAGTCCTCCCTCGGGTAAGTCCCCCCTCGGGTAAATACGCGCTGAGGTCTTCGGGTGATTCAAGCCTATATACATCAAATGGGGGTAATATATTCTGGTATATAAAAGGGTGTATTCGCCTAACAGCGTCTTTATTCTGGTATATATATTCGTCTGTTTACAAGCTTAATGTTCGGTATGCATCTACAGAAAGAAAAAGGAGCTAAATTTGGTATATTCATATGTTTAAAGAATTCAATTTTAGGGATATTCGTCTAGATAACTTTAATTAGGTATAGTCTGGTATATCCACCAATGAGTATAGTCTGGTATATCCACCAATGAGTATAGTCTGGTATATCCACCAATGAGTATAGTCTGGTATATCCACCAATGAGTATAGTCTGGTATATCCACCAATGAGTATAGTCTGGTATATCCACCAATGAGTATAATCTGGTATATGCACCAATGAGTATAGTGCGATATATCCGCAATGGAGTATAGTCTGGTATATCCACCAATGAGTATAATCTGGTATATACCAATGAGTATAGTCCTAATTTATATTATCCGCACCAATAGGTATAGTCTGGTATATCCACCAATGAGTATAGTCTGGTATATCCACCAATGAGTATAGTCTGGTATATCCACCAATGAGTATAGTCTGGTATATCCACCAATGAGTATAGTCTGGTATATCCACCAATGAGTATAGTCTGGTATATCCACCAATGAGTATAATCTGGTCTACTCATGTGCCCACTGCCCCTACAGAGCCCAGCTGGCGGAAGAGCGAGGTACTGGGTGACGACCTGGTGGCCATCCTCAACAACACCATCAGCCATCCCGACTGTCCCGACATGTTCACCGTCGTCGGCGACCAGTGTCTCTCCATCTTCTCCGTCGGCAAGGTCCTCCTCCACCACCCCTATACCACCCTCACCCTCCAGCTCCACTCACACACACCCTCCACCTACCGCCTCCACTCACACACCCTCCACCTACCGCCTCCACCCACATACACCCTCCACTTACCGCCTCCACTCACACACCCTCCACCTACCGCCTCCCACTCCACACCCACCTCCACCTACCGCCTCCACTCACACCCTCCACCTACCGCCTCCTCCTTACACCCTCCACCTACCGCCTCCACTCATACACCCTCCACCTACCGCCTCCACTCAGCCACCCTCCACCTACCGCCTCCACTCCACCCTCCACCTACCGCCTCCACTCCACACCCTCCACCTACTGCCTCCACTCCACACACCCTCCACCTACCGCCTCCCACTCCCATACCTCCACCTACCGCCTCCACTCTTCACCCTCCACCTACCGCCTCCTCCTTACACCCTCCACCTACCGCCTCCACTCCCACACACCTCCACCTACCGCCTCACTCCACACACCCTCCACCTACCGCCTCCACTCCTTACACCCTCCACCTACCGCCTCCACTCACACTTCACACCTCCCACTTACCGCCTCCACTCATACACCCCCTCCACCTACCGCCTCCACTCCCGCATACACCCTCCGCCTACCGTCTCCCTCCCTTCACCCTCCACCTACCACTTCCTCCACTCACACACCCTCCACCTACACCAGCAAAGATACACACATTCCATACATACACTCACAAGCATATGCATATTTATACAAAAATACGAGTACACACACACACACACATAAATATTTAGGATCGGCTCGAGATAAACGTAATTCTGAATGTCTATAGTTGTCGGCGTCCTGCTGTAATGACCCTAGAATTGTGTGTGTGTGTGTGTGTGTGTGTGTGTGTGTGTGTGTGTGTGTGTGTGTGTGTGTGTGTGTGAACAGTATCAAGACAGTGTTTGTTTTGATCAGGTAAGCTGGGGAGAAGCACGGGCGTTCTGCAAGGTGATCAACGGGGACCTCCTCACCTTCAAGAGCGTCAGTCACTTCTCTACCGTCATTCAGCACCTCCAGCAACACCGTCAGTAGCCCCCTCAAAAGTTCTAAAAAGTTTTAATATTGTTCTTTGTCGAAAGTTTAAAAAGTTATTAGTTTTCGTTATCAGAAGTTGAAAAAGTTTTATTACTTCTCTTTTTCAAAAGTTTTAAAAGTTTTAATAGTTTTTTCTCAGACGTTCTAAGTCTAACTTCAACGGTTACTTCCTGATATGTTTAAAAATTACTACCTCCCCTAACCAAAAGTTCCATATTTTCACACTTTTTCATCTTTAAAAGTTCTGCAAGTTTTAAAGTGTTTACAGCAGGACAAATACATAACCTAAACATTTCACTTTATAACTTCGATTCTAATTTGAGATTATTAATAGTTTGTGTTTTATTTTGTGCCACAGAGTTGACGACAGACTTCTGGCTGGGCGGCCGTCAGATGGAGAAGGGACAAGGGTGGACGTGGATAGATGATTCCGCCATGGTGCTGGGCTCCCCTTACTGGGCTGTCAGGTATGTGTTATAAGGCTCCTATGGGCTAGGCTCCTCTTACTGGGCTGTCACTCTTAAAGGTTCATAACTTCAAACGTTGTTATCGCCAACAAGTAACGTAAAAGACATTGTCCCAAAAGTTTTCAAAAATATAGAAACCGCTGGATTAACACCACATGACCTTAACTACAGTCCGTCCCAAATTGTAACCACCACTCGCCCCTTCCCAGTGTGCCTTCGACAAACTTCTCCATAAACACCCAAATACAGTACAGTACAGTACAGTACAGTACTCAGCACTATTGCCTCGACTGTCCCGCAGTGAGGGTCGTCCTGCTACAGAGAGAGTCGATCATCACAGTATCATGTCACCACTTCCTGGTACTCCATAACGTGAATGATCTGAACGCCACTAACACTTTGGTGGTGCTGATTGAAAGTGACTTGTGCTCCCCTTGAGTGTGTACCTTTACTCAGTTCACCCCCTCCTCACCACCTCCCCTTTATGTTATAAGCTACACAAAATGTAAGAGCTAATGACACGCGGTCCCCTTTGTTCCCTCCGTCAATATAATACAATTGGAATATACTTAAAACTTAAATTCATTCACATTTCAGAACAATAAATATCTATCAATATTATAATGTAACACTTACCAAGGGACGGCCACATCTAGGTGTTGGTGACGAGCTTTCCTCACTCCCTCCTCTCTCTTGTTACTGAGGAAGGAAAATTGGGCTGTTAATTACATCACTTTTAAACAGAAAGAGAATCATTGGAATGAGTGGGAGTTTGTGTGTGTGTGTGTGATGTTAACGTTGAAATGCATATATATATATATATATATATATATATATATATATATATATATATATATATATATATATATATATATATATATATATATATATATATATATATATATATATATATATATATATATATATATATATGTGTGTGTGTGTGTGTGTGTGTGTGTGTGTGCGTGATGTCCTTAAGCGCAGAAAACCTCTCACAAACAGATGTATAAGTCAGATATAAATATAAAGGAAGATAATGTCCAACTATCGACACTCACTGACCACCAACAATAACTTCCTCCCCCAGACAATACGACGAGTGTCAGTCGAGGAACGTGACCACTGCCAAACACTCGACCCGCAAAGCCAACAGCGCCACCTGTTACAACTACCGCCAGGCACCTGAGCCCATCCTGCGAGGATACTGCGCCTCTCTCTCCTACCAACACTACTTCTATATGACCGACGAGGACTGTCTGGACCTGAAGAGTCCTCTCTGTGTCACCACCTAGCTGTTTTGTACACCACTACCAGAGCTACTCCCTCGTGCCCTTGTTGCTCTCTACATCTTCATCTCTACTAGGACTATATACTTTAATTCTCCCGTGTGGTATTGTAGCAGTGACTCTCTACATCTAAGGATAATATTGTCTACAGGTCACCCGTGTGTTCATGTAGCTTTCTTCGTCTTTACCAGGACGTGTGCTTCACAACAGTCCTTTCAGAGTCTTCACCTTATCCTCTGTAGCTCACGTCCTTTATATGGTTACAGGTCTGGCCGGCTAGCTCTCTCTGTACTGACAAAGGATCACAGTTGACATTTTTAGTTGGCGGTGGTAGCTTTAGTACAATAGTTTACACGTTAAACGAAGAGTATCTTTTTTTTTTTAAGTTTGGAAATAAACATCTGCATATTTTAGGATTTTGCGGAAAACACATTTCGCTTTATGACTCGAAATTAACAAAATGTTAACTTTACCTTTATTGCATTTTTTACAAACAAGTATCACACTTGTCTTCTAGAACAATCCTTTACGCCTCGCTTATCATTATCATGACTAGGAGAACTACTTGCCCTGTCCACCACCACCACCACCACTGCCCAAATACTGTACTCAAGGCTAAATCTTAGATCTTTACAACGGTTGAAGAATATTTGTTTCGTGCACTTTATCTCTTAATGGTTGGTGTTCCCTTTTCTTTCCCTTACGTATAATATCGAGAGAAATCTGGTAACGTCAAATCACCTTTGTCATTATTGTGTCATAAGCGACCCAGTCAGGTACGAAACGGAGTAAACATCACACTGTTGTAAAGTTTCAACACAAACCGGGCATCGGTGTTTTGTACTTCGTAGCAGCATCAACCAATAATAAGATAACTACACTGCCACTTCCACCAATTATAAGAGAACAATGCTGCCACCTCAGTCTCTCAGGTACAGGACAGCTGTATTGATCGTAATACTACTCTATAAATTCAGTCCGTTACAAAACTGTCCTCATCTGCCGCATCCATGTAAAGTTGTTGATGGCCTGTTGATGGCCCGGCCCACCATTACCTAATAGATCAGCGTATCTGTCGCGCGAGAATTTTGTTTACCTGGCAGCCTGACTCAGACAAATCAACACCTGGCGACGTCTCTTCACGCTATCGATAAACATGCTTTGTGAGTAATTAACAACGACAACAAAATCACAGCTTGTAACGAGAATTCCACAAATAAGTATAAGAAATGTGTAATTTCATTTCATAGACAAGTTTGATAATGGCCATCATCATTATACGGTGATGTTATGGTGCATTATTACCCTAGCAACCAATCCATGTGTCTGAGCTGTCGGGGTTGCTAGGGTCAAGACGAAAGTGAACGGAGCATATTCTACAGGTCAATTCTTATTCGTTGTAAACACTTATTTACTTTTTACCGTCAGGTGACAAAAGTGACTATCTCCGTTGAAGGTAACTCGCTGAAACCTATTTCGTAAAGAATTATTATGAGTTTCCTGTAAACAACTTTGTTAACGCCTGTAGTAATACTGATCAATAAATACCAACTTAACACTGCATCCTTTTAATATCCTTCCCTCATAGGATTAAACTGGCATCTCATTTTGAGGCTGCAAATGTTTTGGCTCTTGAGAAAAGACGTGGACAAGCATTAGGCAGACCAAGATGAGATGTTCAATGACAGAATTTTGATTATACTGTAATATTGTAGAGCCAACAGCCCGCGCTCTGCCTTAAGTTTCGTAGGTGGTACTGCTTCTAACTTGCAGCAGTATTACGTATTTTAAGATAAAAATACCAAGTACGGTGCCCCGCAAAACCGTTTATTTTGTAAGTCAGGCGACACTATCAACTGAACCCGTATATCCTAACGTAACAAAAACTTAGGCGGGTTAAGTTTAGCTGGGTTAGGTTAAGCAAGGTTATGTTAGAGTCGTATAGGTTAGATTACTAAAAAAGAAAAACAATGGCTTTATTATCGGTTCTGTTCGCAGTATCCTTCTAACATTGGCACTCTCGAATGACGTACAGCTTTCACACGGTTGCATTATCACCACCTCCTGCCGAACGAGTCATTACACATTTCCTGTAAGATGTCGTACACGAGGGAGTTGTGACTACTGCATTTCAAGTTCTTATCTTATCGAAGATAGTGCAATACTTCCGTCTCTTTCTAGATATCCATATTTAGGCTATTTTATAAAAGTTTTCTCTTAAATCAAACTTTACGCTGTGAATCAATATTATCATTGTCATGATTATCATTCTTACATACGGTGATCTATGACGTCATAGACATTCCAAACAATTATAGGTGAATGTAGCTATTCAATAATATTATTAATTTAGTGTATTTAGAAGAATCTCCGAATACGCGGATTCTTGTATCAGTCGTGGGTGTATCCTGACGTCACAAACCGTGCCAGGGTCAGGAGATAACAATCACGTGTACGAATGATAAATGGCGATAATTACTATAAGCAGCACCGGGATGATAGGGTGAATCGAACATCTGAACAAGACGGGAGTCCAGTGCCCTAACCAACATCTTGTCTTTAAACAAAATTATTACCAAGTTATATAATAAAACCTGACGATGACAGCGTGACACGGAGTACTGACTCACACTGGTAATAAAAGAACTACAGTATATTGTAGGTCCACCCCCTGCCACGGCCTCACCATATCCGCTGGAATCTATAATTTGCCTTAAACTTCACCAAATTATTAATGCTACTCTTATAACGTTCATATAATAATCTATGTCATATTAGATTTATAAAATTATAGTTTTTTTAGTTGAGAAATCACTTGCCTCTTGCCACTGTGACCCTGATTCGTCTCCCACTTGGGTGTGACGTAACTACTCGTAACTATTGAGCACTGCAAATATTCCTCGGGTACAAGTTGACAATTGGTTTGGTATGTATACAGACAATGCAGAGGTATACATTTCAGTACGTGTATAAAGCCAACTGCCCCACCAGATTCGATAGTGAGTAATGTCTCGCAAGTGGATGGTGATCTGGACACAGCCTTGACTCCTTCATCCGGATGTGAGAAGTGCTAGCCAGATGCCAAAGTGTCTTATCACTATAAAATATGGCAGATTTTATCTGATAATCCTGTTTCCTATTGCACTGAACAAGACATTAAGGGATAAACTCACCGGGAACAATGGGAGCATTAAACAACAAACCACTGGATTCTTCTCCCTATCATAAAGGTAAATCATAAAAAATAACGGTACTGCCCCACATGATACTACTTTGCTTCCTAATCCGTAAATATTAAAGAAATATGTTATCGAATGTTTTGATAAATCATCATAAATACTTATCAAAACATCCTAATACTGAATTAGGATGATACATCCTTAGTACTATGAGGTGGGCCATGTTGCACCACGGTAATCCCACCACTGTTTGTAACCTTTGTGGCCAACCCGACTCTCACACCCTCTCTCACTACAGTACATCCTCACTTGCCCTATAACCTCCTCCTATAGGTCCCCAGCCGTTACCAACACCTCTTCCCTCCCAGACCACATATCCCTCCTCCTAGTCACAGGCCTGGCATTTGGCATTATTAGGGACCTGCCACTCTTTGCCATAAACAGATGAAATGTACCGGGAACTTTCCCCTAACACACTCATCATTCTCTCACTTTATGTAACTTGACAAAACCTATGACCCTTCAGGCTTTTACGCCCTTAATGTACGAGTCATAAAGGCAAGTATGAACTTTTCATACTTCCCTGTTGGGCGCTGTAAACGCTTCTGCGCTTCACCTTGCACAGGATGTAAGGGGGTGCCCAATAAACTAGCCCCCTGGGGGCAAATCTGAAATCTGAATCTGGCAATCCCACCACCAGTCACCGAATCGTCAGTAGTTGCCACATGTCGCCAACTGTTGAGATGATGGCGTCATCGGAATGCACTATCTGGGCGATCAATAATGTCAGAAATGTACCACGGATGTAGCCTCAAAGCCATTTATTTATGTATTTATTAATCGGAAGCGAACGACAAGACCGTAATTTAATAATCCTAAGGTGTTCTGTTTGATTAGATTTGCTTGGTCCGAGTCTTCTGAAAAATAAAGCATGACTGTTCTCTTCGTGGTACATCTTTAACATTGACCATGAAGCTGCTGCTGCTGTTGATGTCGGGGCAACGGTGAAAAACATGCCAGCTTTCACTTCACTTCCTGCACTCTCAGTGTCAACACGTAACGCTACCCACCCAAACAAAACTCAGTGCAGTGTAACCAACAATAGTGAATAACTGTTGTTAGAAGAACCATTGCTTGCATGTGAAGTGTCATTCAAGCTAATTCCTTCAGAAATTTGTAAGTTAAAATTTAATGTATTAGTGATTTATACGCAAGAAAGAACATTAGGCGTGTGTAGGAGTTCGTGGTATAATGTTGTCTAGCACTCAGGATGGATGGAAACTCTAATGTGGTTTTCTTGTATAATATAAGTTATATGATAGACAGTCTGGTGCTGGAGGTGCCGTGTGGTGAGGAGCTGCTCAGTAGAGACGTTCGGTGAGTAGCGTGTTGAAGGAGGTAGATGTGCAGGAGCTTCGTTAGAGAAGATGTTGCCTGTTGCTGGCCTCCTGGTTGAATGAAAGCTGGACAGCGTGGAGCTTGCTGGAGGAGGTGTTGCGTGTTCAAGTAGAATGGCCAGAATGAGAGTTGGTTGGTGAGGAAGCTCAGAGAAGGACAGCTGGTGGGTCGCCATGCTCGCTGGCTGGAGCGAGGACCGCCAGGCAGGCGGAGAGAAGCGAGGGCCGCCAGGCAGCGGCGGAGGAGGAGGTGTTGCTTGTTCAAGAAGAGAGACCAGAATGAATCTCAATGGAGAGACAGAGCTTATATACCCAGCAGCCGTGAGTCCTCTATGAGTCATGTTGGGAAAACCCGAGAAAGTCGCCGGTCTTTTGGTTCCGTTGCTAGGTTACAGTAACATCTGGTGTCGCCGCTCGTTTGGTTGCTAAGGAAGGCGTCGCAGGTGGGATGCAGCTACGCAGTTTGTAGGGGAGACGTCCACTACACGTGCATTATACTGTCCTATGTGGAAAGGAGAAAAAACGATTGATCTCGCCCTGTGTTCGTGTTCGCCATTAGGAAATATAAACACAAGGGCTCTCCTCCTGGTATTTTTTTATCGATGTGGTAAAATTCATGTACCAAGACTGCAGATGTTACTAGAATTCAACAGATCGATGATATTTAATATATTCAATGCAATTTATTGGTAATCTCTATATTATATTACGACAAATGGGGATTAAAATACCGTGTGTGTGTGTGTGTGTTTGTGTGTGATATGTCAGTACAGTGTATGTATATATGTATGCCTGTGTAATGTGAGTGTGTAGTTTAGTGCTACAAATGGTTAAACTTCCCTGTAAAATTCCTCATTATTTCCAAGCTGTGTATTTGTAAACTTTCAACTGATCTTAATTTTCACATATCTCTCCAGTTCTTCTCGTGACCTGTATTGACTCTGGAGCCAGTGGTGCCCCCAGCTCTACGGGCATCACTCGTCACTGTCCCTCCATCGACACTCATCATGGCAAAAGGTAAATAAAGACCTGCCCGCAGCGATCCTCTCGAGGTGTTGCTGAAGCTTCGAGGTTCACCACGCTTGATTTTCTTTCGCAAAGCTTGAATTTTTTTCCCACCACGCTTGATTTTCTTCCGCCACGTTTGAAATGTCTCTCCGCGACGCTTGATTTTCTTCCGCCACGCTTAATTTTCTCCCCACCACGTTTAATTTTCTTCCACCACGCTTAAATTCTATCTCGCCATACTTAACTTTTATCCCAAGTACTTAATTTCCCTCCATTATTCTTGATTTTATAAGCAATTGTAAAATACTTGTCTGCTCTAAAATTCACAAAAATCAGATAAACTTCATGTGTTTAATACATTTTAAGATAAATTTTAAGACAAAGTTTTTCTCCAAATAGATACATTGAGCCCCAGGAACACCAATTTCCTGTCTAAGTTGTGTTGGTGGACACAACACGAAGACGAAGACTGGAGCTCCAATCCCAATGATGCTTGGGCAAAAATCAGCAGTGACCAGATAGTAGACACAGTTGTCCCCATCTCACCACACACTCCTCCTGCACCTAATATGGTCAGTACACCAGACTACTCCCAAGACAAAATATTGTATTTGAGCGTAAACTGGAACTGCCTACTGTAATTTATTTTATTCTTATGTTGGAACACGTGAAAAATAGCCTCACCGAAGCTTATATCACCGGAGTTTTAAACACCCTAACGCTACATGGAGGGGTTAGGTCTGACTAGCTTAGGTTATGTTAGTTGGGGCGTATTAGTACTGGGGTCCACTTAAGTTCTTAACCTCTGTGTTTGATTTGATCTACAAGTTAAATTGTATCACCTTTAGATTTATCACTCCGTCCTATTTCACCTGAAGATTAACCACCCTAACGTTATCTGAGGGTTTAGGTCAGGTTAGGTTAACAATAGGGTGGTTAACCTTAAGATGATTCGTTAAGTTAATGAGTTTATTGGCTTCATTTGGCCAGTAACCAAGCTTAATTACTGTTTTGCTTATTGTGGGATGCAGGTAAGATTCGTGTGTATGAGTGACACACACAACACAACGGATTCCCTGTATCATCCAGTGCCTGACGGGGACGTGTTGCTACATGCTGGGGATTTCACCTTCCATGGCTCCCTGAACGAGGCCAACAAGTTCAACAAATGGCTAGGTAGGTGTTAATAATAATAATAATAATAATAATAATAATAAGAAGAAGAAGAAGAAGAAGAAGAAGAAGAAGAAGAAGAAGAAGAAGAAGAAGAAGAAGAAGAAGAAGAAGAAGAAGAAGAAGAAGAAGAAGAAGAAGAAGAAGAAGAAGAAGAAGAAGAAGAAGAAGAAGAAGAAGAAGAAGAAGAAGAAGAAGAAGAAGAAGAAGAAGAAGAAGAAGAAGAAGAAGAAGAAGAAGAAGAAGAAGAAGAAGAAGAAGAAGAAGAAGAAGAAGAAGAAGAAGAAGAAGAAGAAGAAGAAGAAGAAGAAGAAGAAGAAAGAAGAAGAAGAAGAAGAAGAAGAAGAAGAAGAAGAAGAAGAAGAAGAAGAAGAAGAAGAAGAAGAAGAAGAAGAAGAAGAAGAAGAAGAAGAAGAAGAAGAAGAAGAAGAAGAAGAAGAAGAAGAAGAAGAAGAAGAAGAAGAAGAAGAAGAAGAAGAAGAAGAAGAAGAAGAAGAAGAAGAAGAAGAAGAAGAAGAAGAAGAAGAAGAAGAAGAAGAAGAAGAAGAAGAAGAAGAAGAAGAAGAAGGCTGAAGAAGAAGAAGAAGAAGAAGAAGAAGAAGAAGAAGAAGAAGAAGAAGAAGAAGAAGAAGAAGAAGAAGAAGAAGAAGAAGAAGAAGAAGAAGAAGAAGAAGAAGAAGAAGAAGAAGAAGAAGAAGAAGAAGAAGAAGAAGAAGAAGAAGAAGAAGAAGAAGAAGAAGAAGAAGAAGAAGAAGAAGAAGAAGAAGAAGAAGAAGAAGAAGAAGAAGAAGAAGAAGAAGAAGAAGAAGAAGAAGAAGAAGAAGAAGAAGAAGAAGAAGAAGAAGAAGAAGAAGAAGAAGAAGAATTTCCTATAACAAAGACTTCCATAATGGTAGACCCTGCTGCCATATGGCACCACAAAAATTGTGACCAAGTCCCAGGTTGCTGATCTGACTTTCTGCCTCATTTACACACAATTGCAGGGTCTCAATTGTTTCTCTTACTATTGATAACACAACATACATATATCGTTTCTCACTATTGATTTTTTCATTTTTATATTTCTTTATTATTATTATTATTATTATTATTATTATTATTATTGCTATCATTATTATTTCATTGTTTTATTTTTAATTTTGTATTTTATTATAAATTTTATTTACTATGAATTATTATTATTAATTATTATTATTATTATTATTATTATTGTTATTATTATTATTTTTTTTTTTTTTTTATTGGGCACTCCCCTACATCCTGTGTAAGGTGAAGCGCAGAAGCGTTTACAGCGCCCAACAGGGAAGCATGCTAAGTTCATGCTTGCCTTTATGTCTCATGAGTTAAGGGGGTAGAAGCCTGAAGAGTCAATGGTTTTTGTCATCAAGTTATTGGAAGCTCCAACAACTTTCCCTGAATACGAATTCGCAACTTTCGATTTACAACAGGTACCTACATTACTGCTAGGTGAACAGGGACCAAGAGGGGCTAGGAAGTATGTCCCAACGACTTTTCCACTGGCCCGGGGAATCGAACCCAAGACATCTCGCTTGCGAGGCAAGAGCGGTACCGTTCTACCACCAGCGCCCCATTTTATTATTATTATTATCGCCCCCCGGGACCCGATGTGGATCAGTGACCTGTGCCCGGGTGGTCTAAAAAAAATCCACATTAAGGCAGGTAAACAAAAACAAACAAGCAACAAAACAACAAATGCCCTTTGAGCACAACCCGCTTCACACAAGGTTATGACAGCCATCTACACTAGACTGTCCGTCCGTGTTATGGTAGAGGGACCTGGAAGGGAGAGAGAAAGAGAGAGAAAGAGATAAATAGAGAGAAAGTGGAGGGAAACACAGAGAAAAGGAGATGAGGTTATAGACAGACAGTTTCATGGACAAATAAACAGACAGAAAGGCAGGAACTCTTAGACACAAATATAAAGGCAGACAGACTGACGCACATAAAAAGGAAGAGATAAAGGAATTGGAGAAAGACAGACAGATAAATAGGACAAGCACGTACAATTGTTAACGAGGAACAAACAGACACAAAGAGTTCAGCAGAAAAAAGGATGTAGGGAGAGGTGGTAGGAGGGGGTTAAGATCAGTCGTTCACACAACAGAGCCGAAGCTGACTCATTTATAATAGACTCTCTCTCTCTCTCATCCAGGTGTGTGACACAAATTGGTAGGTATAAGGTTGAGGCACCATCACCGCCACGGTGATGGTGGTGATATCAGGTGTCATACCAGATATTGTTATGTCTATAATGATGTGTTGATTGGTGTGTGTGTGTGTGTGTGTTCGGGCGAATCGCAGCCTGTTAATTCCTGTTTACAGAGCAAATAGGCATAAGTCCTCATTGGCCTCAGCCTAACCTAACTAATAAGAGAATGGACCCTTAAGACTGGGCCTCAATCCTATCGGTTAGGTTACGTTAGGATAAGATAAATTAAAACCTATTAGGAGTAGGACCAATGAGACCTGGGGTCTTAGGATTGGGACCTATTGGGATTTGGGTCTATTAGAATTGGAGTCCATTAAAACTTTGACCGAGTAGAGCTGGGGTTGTTTAGGACTAGAACCCCTATAATCACCCACCTTAACACACATACCTATCCTCCAGGAACGCTACCGCACCCCCACAAGGTAGTGATCGCGGGGAACCACGAGGTGTTGTTGGATCAGGAAGCCTGCCTCTTTGTCAAGGCTGCCGACCCTCTCCAAGTCCTCACCAATGCCACCTACCTGAACGAGGACTCAGTTACCCTCTACGGCATCAAGATCTATGGCGCCCCCTGGTGAGCACTACTTTATTTACTTTGACCCTGTGATCTTAACCCCTCGTCAGTCTTGGCTAAAACAGTAACTTGGAGGCTTAACAAGCAAAAAGCTTTTAAAGGTCAAAGCAGTAACTCAAATCTTTTTGAGGTAGATGGGAGATTGTGGATAAATGAGACTAACCATCTAAATGGCTACTGTCCGTGTGAAGGTGATGTGATGGCGAGAGGAAACGGGCGAGGGTTAGTAAAACGTTTATCAGAATATTATTCAGGGAGAACAGTTAGAGCACTGGCTATGCATCTGTTACAGCCTTGGTGATGGTGAGTGGCTCAGATCCATCAATTTTATTAATACAGAAACATCAGTGAGTCATTACTGTTATCTCAGTAGTTATAAGAACATAAGAAAATAAGGAGTCTGCAATAGGCCGGTTGGCCTGTGCATGGCAGCTCCTGTCGAGAGTTACTACAACTCTCTATCATCCATGAATCTATCTAGCCTCCCTTTGAAACTTTCCAGAGTTCCAGCACTTACTACAAAGTTGCTAAGCTTGTTCCACTCGTCTACCACACTTATTTGTGAACCAGTTCCTTCCTATCTCCCTCCTAAACCTAAACTTATCCAACTTATATCCGTTGCTCCGAGTCTTATCCTGCTCGGATATTATAAGAACTTTATCTATATCCCCTTTATTGATTCCTTGATTATCATCCTAATATATACCATTCTCGATCATCCTCAGTGTTTGTATGTGTACGTGGTTGAATTTATGAAATGACGTTATTATTATTATTACCTAGGACGCCTGAGTATCACAAAATGGCCTTCAACATACAGCGCGGGAAGGAACTTCGGAAAAAGTGGTCGAAGATTCCCAAAGACACAGATATCCTGATGACCCACGGTCCTCCCCTGGGTCACGGTGACCTGACCTGGCGAAAGGAACGGGTAGGCTGTGTTGATCTCCTCTCTGCCACAAAAAACAAAGTCAAGCCCGCCTACCATGTCTTCGGCCACATACATGAAGGTTAGCTGGGTTGTGTGTAGCAAGTGCACGGGCGTTTGGATGCAATAAATAAATTTATATACATATAAATGAAATTAATATAGAGTGCGCATCATTTATTCGTTAACTTCTCTTCAAGCTCTCAAATGCCCTACGCATTAACATACTGGAGTTTGGTTCAGCCATGTCAATAATGTTGTTATTGTCCACTCTGTATTCTGCATTTTTCTGGCTAAAAAAATAAACTGTTTCAATATTTATGTCTCAGGGTACGGGATGACGACGGACGGCCAGACAGTGTTCGTGAATGCTGCCACTTGCAACCTCGACTATAATCCCGTCAACCCCGCCATCGTGTTCGACATGCCTCTACCTGATGGTTTCACCAAACCCACACCATAACACAGCTACTCGCACCACAGACGTAAACACAACAACTCTCATAAGAAACAAAGAGGGACAAGAAGACAAGTCGGGGAGAAGTTGTGGAGTCTTCTAGCGACACACAACCTCGCGACCTGACTAGCGTCTGTAGTATCTACAAACCTGTCTGTCCTTTATGGATCCCTATAGAAAGTCAGGTGTTTAGGTGTGCCAGCACACTGCACAAATGATAGCACTATGCGGATTTTAGTTAACAGAACTGGTTGCAATTTTTTACCCTAAAATAACGGCGATAAGATCGGTAAGGTGTGTTTCACGTCTCTACTCTCACGTCAACAATTCATCTAACATTACTTAGTCTTAACCTTATGTGTAAATAATATGTGCTTAATAATTACTTTTTAAAGTGTTTTTTCTGCAAACCTTATTGGCGAACTATGTTATATGAAAACTGCTAAATACATACGCACTGAATAGAACGCTATATATATATATATATATACATATATATATATATATATATATATATATATATATATATATATATATATATATATATATATATATATATATATATATATACATGTAACCACAATGAAAACGTGGATAAGATAAATCTTGATAAAATCACACGGGAAAAAAAAAATATATATATATATATATATATATATATATATATATATATATATATATATATATATATATATATATATATAAATATATATATATATATATATATATATATATATATATATATATATATATATATATATATATATATATATATATATATATATATATATATATATATATATATATATATATATATATATATATATATATATATATATATATATATATATATACTTGATCGATGTCTTGTCCTTGCAGAATCAGTGGTGTCTGACGCCGGAAGCGTGAGATGAACTTGGTTTTAGTGTGTGAGATGACTAGCCCGAGTGTTTGACAGGTCCGGGCGAACGTGGAGAGTATAGGTTGTTCATGTTGCACTGTAGTAATTTGGAGGAGGATATCATCAGCGTAGCTTATGATGTGACCGTCGAGGGCGCGCTCAGCAAAGATGACGTTGAGACGGCAGATGGAGTTCATGAGAACATTGAAGAGTGTAGGGCTGAGTACACCTTCCTGAGGCGTACCAAGATCAAGGCCCCTGATCTTAGAGTAGTGGCCCTGAAAACGGACACGGGCCTGTCGATGGGAGAGGTAGTCAGCAATCCACGTGAGGAGTTTGCCCTTCACATCCATGTGAGTGAGGCCCTCAAGGATCACTTCACTGTTGGCTTTATCAAAAGCACCCTTGAAGTCGACGAAGAGGGAGGTTTTGGCAGAGGTGTTTGCCATGTAGTGAGCGATGCAGTGAGCAGTACTCTTTCCGGGGCGAAAACCATAGAGGTCAGGATGCAGGTGGGCTTCAATTTTCCAGTGGAGGCGGTGGCGTATCATGCGCTCCATCATCTTTGAGAAGCAGGAGATGAGGGATATTGGACGATATTCATCTTGTCTGCCTGGTTTAGGGACTGGGATGGTGGTGGCAGTCTTCCATGAGTGAGGCAGCTGACCAGTATCAAAAGAGAGGTTAAATAGACAGAGGAGGGGGTTACCAGGGGTAGCAATAAGGGCATTTAACACATCATATGTGACGCCGTCATCGCCTGGGGCGGTGGGCCGACCACGCTTAACAGCATTTAGTAGTTCATACTGTGTGAAAGGCACGTCAGTGTCTGCAAATAGGTCTTGGTACTCAAAGATGCGCTGTCGGCGTTGTGGTTGCAGTGCGAGGGTGAGGTCTCGTACAGCGGGTGGTAGCGCATCAATGGAGGCGGCCTCCTGCCACGTCTGGGAGAGCGCCTCAGCTTGGACAGCTGGTCTGGGGTGGAGCGCGGGTCTAGCGTTGGTGCCCCGGGCATGGTTAATGGTGCGCCATATATCACCTATAGATGTTGACTGGTCAATAGAAGAAGCAAAATCAAACCACTGCTTTTCTCGTGCGAGAGTGATGGCAGATTGGAGCTCTTTATTTGTGCGCATCAGGAAGCGTAGAGAGTCAGGGAGCTGGGAGATTTCTTCCACTGGTCGACTGCTATTCGGTGCCATACTCGGATAGACTTAACATGAGGGTCACGGTTAACGTTCCACTGACTCCTGGGCTGGCGGTTAGGGCGGCGGTGTTTTGGGACAGGGCGGAGGAGGTCAGTGCATTGTTTGGAAAGATCAAGGTAGAGTTGGTCTGCGGTGGTGACAGTGTAACCCTGAAACCATTCAGCAATGGTAGTGATGAAGGCAGGTATGTTGGCAGGGGGTAGGCTGAGCCTAGGGCCCTTGGGTGGAACGGGTATTCTTACATACTGGAGGGTAGTGTGGATAGGGAAATGGTCACTGTGGGGGGAGTGGAGGATGCGGGTGGAGTGTGGGCGGTGAGGGTCAGAGTAGAGAGCTATGTAGTCAAGTTTCCCTCCCCCGATGTGGGTGGGTGATGGAGGGCAGAGAAGACGTACAGGGTCATCAGTGGTTTGTAGGTAGGAGAGCCAGGAGTTACCCCGGGAGTTTGAGTGGGGCCCCTGGGAGCCGAGACTAGGGTGACGGGCATTGAGGTCCCCCACAAGGAGGGTGGGGGTGGAGGTGATATGGTGTGGTAGAACAGGTACAGTAGGGGTGGAGGGAGGCACATAGACATTGACAAGATTGAGGGACATACCTTTTAGTGTGATTGTGATGGCATGTGCGTCGGTGGTGTCGTCATCAAGGGGGACGTCGAGAGGTTGGTAGGGGACATCCTTCTTGACGTAGATCCGTAGTCCACGTGCATGGCTTCGTGGTAGTCCGTCGATGCGGAGAACAGGAGTGGATGGGCTCTCAACACATGTGTAGCCACTGAACACATAGGTACCAGCAGCACACCGCGTTTCTTGGAGGCACAGCACGTCGACGTCTTCAGTGTAGACGTAGGTTTTGAGGGCACCAAACTTGCTTTGCAAGCCGTTTATGTTCCAGGTGAGTACCTGCAGTCCTGTAGCGTTGCTATCCATTGTGGTGTATTAGACTGATTACCCCTGACGTGGACGGATGGGCCTTAGGTGCCGGCATGTCGGTGGAGTATGGGTAGCCGGGGGTGGAGTCCTCAGGTCCAATAGGTAGCCCTGGTGGAGACAGCACAGACACAGGAGCAGGCGAGGCTTGAGGTGGGTAGACAGGTTGAGGCACCACGTGACGTAAAGATGAGGCAGGGCTTGGCTCGGGGGCCCCAGTACACACAACCTGTGAGCAGGGGGGATCACAGGGGGACTACCAGCTTGTGTCAAACCAAAAGAGGGGAGTGACTGGGTGGCAGCAAAGGGCAGGAGTTGGCGGTGTAGGTCGGAGATGGCGGTACAGAGTGTAACCAAGAGTTTCTCAACATGACTGGTAAATTCTTGGAAGAGGGACATGATCTGTGTCATGTCACTGGAGACGGGTTGTGGGGGGCACTGGTGGCGGCACAAGGCTTGACAGCGTCAGGGTAGAGACGGGGTTGTGGGGGGGCACTGGTGGCGGCACAAGGCTTGACAGCGTCAGGGTAGAGACGGGGTTGTGGGGGGGCACTGGTGGCGGCACAAGGCTTGACAGCGTCAGGGTAGAGATGGGGTTGTGGGGGGGGCACTGGTGGCGGCACAAGGCTTGACTGCGTCAGAGTAGCGACGGGGTTGTGGGGGGTAACTGGTGGGAACACGAGGCTTGATAGCGTCAGAGTAGAGACGGGGAGGAGGCTCAGTAGTGGTTGAGTTAGGGAATGGTAGGTGCTGTTGTGGTGCAGCCTGGTGAAGCCAGGCAGGGGCAGGTGACCCAGTAGACTGAGGGGGGCGTTGTGGTAGACGCAGCCCTTGGGGAGGCCTCTCCCCTGGGACAGAAGGGCGACTGGGGCACTGCCGTGAGTCAGCATTGTGCCGGCCGCCACAGTTACAGCACCTGGGCTCAACTACATAGCCCACACCACCCCTATTAAGGTGGTCTTTGATTTTCTGGGCACAGGCGGCGGAGTTGTGGTTACGTGAGCAGAAGCGACATCTAGGACGATCACGTCGGCAGCAGGCAGTGAAGGTGTGACCCCAATGAGAGCAGATAACACAAAATGCAGGCCCAGGATGATAGGGCTCTGCATAAAGTGGTGGAAGGATTGGATGGGCTTCCACAGTGGTTGGACATACCCTTCCCTTCCACTTGACAATAACAGCAGCTTGTGGAGTGTGTCCCCGGTAATGTCGACGTATACTGAGTATATTAGAATTAAAGTCACGTGCATCTTCGATGTCAGCGTATAGGGGGAATCGTTTCACTAGGATGTGGCAACATTCATCAGCGTCTGCTGGAGGGGCCACTAGGACAACCCCGTCAAAGCCAACAGTACTAAGGGTTTTATAGACTTCAGGAGTCTGACACTTGATAAAGTTCCGGTTCTTACCTTGTCGGAATTGAATGTTGGGACCATGCTGTCTGCAGTACTTCATCATCCAATTAAACCGATCCTCGACAGATTTTAATGAGTCCTTGGGAAAGTGGAGATTCAGCTTACTTGTTTGTTTGGCAGAGGTCAGGGTGATAGGGTCCATGGCATTGCTGTTTCCACTGTGGCTAGTGTTTCCCATACAAACATTACCGTCACTGTCATAATCACTGGGGTCTGACTCTTGAAGGGTGTTGGATTCAGTCAAGACCTGCTGTGTTTTATTCCCAGTTGAATTCTTTCTGCTTCCTTCTGTGTGTGTCGCCCTTTTCTTCCTATCATTCATGATCTCATCACTGTCGCTTCCTTCACTTTTCTTCTCCTCCTCTCGCCTCCTCTTCTTTTCTTTCTTACTAATCTGTAGCCGCAATGAAGTCAAATAATGGTCCTACATGAATAAATCGGACTGTCAATCACTTCTCGACTAGTATTTGAGGTCACAAAGTCACAAAAAATTGGAAAACTTAATTTAATTTGAGTTAATAGATCAAGTGCATGTACCTAACCTAACCTAACCTAACACAACTCAGATTAAATTAAGTTTACCAATTTTTTGTGACTTTATGACACCAAATAATATTCGAGAAGTGATTCACAGCCCGATTTACGCTTGTAGGACCATCATTTGACTTCATTGCGACTACATTTGGGTTCATTTGGGTAATTACTCGCTCCCTCGGTACAAGCACGCGATCTATTAACTCAGTTTAAATTAAGTTTTCCAATTTTTTGTGACTTTGTGACACCAAATACTAGTCGAGAAGTGATTAGCAGTCCGATTTATTCATGTAGGACCATTATTTGACTTCATTGCGGCTACATTTGGGTACATTTGGGTAATTAGTCGGACCGCCGAGAGGGGACATCGTATAACTTAAAACTTGCCAATATATTATGCAAGCAGCAATCTACCAGCCCAAGCTTGTGGAATAAAAAATAGTCTGAGTTCAAAATAGTCTCAAACAAGACTAACCACAGTAGAATAAAAAGTTGTTCTCAAACTTTCTCGAGTGCGACCCAATTTTGAATATCTCGGAACTTTCTCGACTCAACGATTCGAATACAAAAAAATACCCGGTAACTAAAATCAAATATATTGTCATATAACTAGCAGTTTAATAGCAAGGTATACAACTAACAATAAATAGAATGGTTGAAGGCTCCCATTTTTTAACGGTAACCTAGAGACTTTGGGTGGGTATTAGTTGGTAAATAAGGTCAAATATAGTTGGGTAATTTTTAGATTTAGTATTTTATGGATTGATCTACTCATGCATATAGAATAAAAATAACACATGACTCATGATAACTTCATTGGAAATTTAAAATATATAATGATCTTTCATATTATGAGTTTACAACTAGATTTAAGTTCCCGCAGTATTAACCAATCACAGGGGAATGTAGAAGAAACGTCAAGACAAACAGCCAATCAGAAATCAGAGCGTGTGAGAAGGGATTTTTTTTTTACTTGCATACCGTAATATTCATCCCATTATTCTATCTTGCAGGCAACCTTTTATGAGTAATTAACATCTGTGAAAGTTTCAATTATTTCATATCCACTGTTGTTACTGAATAATATAACAATGAACGTAGAAATAATACAAACGTCACCCTCACAATACCAAGACGAGAGACCCACTCAGCAAGCGCTGTCACATGCATTATAGAAAACGGTTCTATTTAAAGCGATAACCGCTTGAATTAGTATTTTATAAAACCAAGGGTTCGAAAATATGCATAGTAATTGTGCTGCGTTACTTATGGTGGTTATAGGTGAATACTAGATAAAGGTGACTCATTCATATTTTCAAAAGAAAATTATAGACACTCTATGCCAAGAGGAACACTAATAATGATGACACCTTTATTCTGGACAAAGGCTTCACTCCTGTATTATATATCCAGCTTTTCATCTGTATCTCTGCCGTTATTCGGTACCATACTTAGAAAACTAATAGCTTTACAATATATTTCAGTTGTAAACTGATATCAGAACTTGATATCAAAAGCTGGTAGTTTAGAAATGTGGATTTGAAAATTGATGCCTGACGCATGGTCACTCAAACTCTCTGCGTTTTAACTATGGAATTTATTATAAAATACGGTAAAATTTTTAGTTCGGTCCTCCTTGTATATAGATATCCAAATTATATGATTTCCGACAGATATGAAGGTCCAAATCGTTCAAAATACATAAGAAAAACATCGGAAATCATATTTTGAGTATCTAACCTAACCTAAGCTAAAATTCCTAAGATTCCCCGGGCAGGGGAACCTAGTGACAGCACTAGGATCCCGCTTCCTCTATCAAGGAATAAACTATTGAAATTGAAATTGATTCCCATGATGACCGAAATTAAAAAAAATAACTAAATTGCTGCCACCTATCGACTAAAATCCCAAGTAAACTATGCCACATGTCGCCGATCAGCACGCCACAGTCAGTCAGCTTCCAGTGTGAGTACTGTCAACACGTCGACCAAGATGATGGTCGACACAGGAGGCCTGAGCCTCTTTATATTAGGGACCCTGGTAATTATTATCCCGTTGTTTAATTGAAATTGACATGATCTTACCGAGAACCTAAGTGGTGTTGTTTTACAATTACGGTGTCAAATTGGGAAGGTGTTTAAATGTGAACTGTATGTAGGCGTTGGCTAAATAAGAGTGGCATTTTCAATCCTTAACTCCTTATCCACTCCATATTTTTAATACACTTTATATATTCGCATTATATGATAGTTCAGTCATTGTTCTTTGCCAGTTTCTAGGGATTTATTTGACAAGAAAAAGTTAGATCAGTCGACAGAGCCCTGACTCAGGTTCTTGGTTCTAGTGCTCCCTTGGTGGATATTTTAACGTGTACAACTCGATATCAAATATAGATTTGTGGATTTTCGTTTAAGATTTGGTAATGGTGGAGCAGATGGTTAGCACCCGAAGGACGTTATGGAATTGCACCAAATTTTCAGGCGTTGTTTGGATGATACTGAGGAAATCAAAACAACAATGCACAGAACCTATTAGAACCTTGCCTAACCTATCCTCACCTACCTACCTAACCTCGTCTAACTTCCTAACGTGTGTATTGCCGTTTCTATTGTATTACTATCAACCAAACATTTCTTGAAAAAATGAACGAAATTAATATCATAAATCGTAATAAGCACACACGATGAGATCATTGGTCGTTTCTTGACATGTAAACAAAGACCGCTCCCATATAGCAGGGAGATCCATAATTATGGTAAATAATTTTTCCTTGCCTACAAAGCTCGTAGATATGTAATTACTGCCATATGATCAGTGTTTGCAGTGTTTTTACCCTGTTGTTTCCCTTTTCTCTCATGCCCTACCCACTAACAATTAATTTATGATCGAAGGATAGCCTTAAAAGAAAAAACTAAAATGTTGTCTTATAAGATTTTATTACTCGGTACCATCCCAAGAATAACTGTGAAAAATATGAATGAAATATATAAACGACAATTTTTTTTGCACAAAGTGGGCAGGGCTTTGAAGTAGAGGGAAATTGTGGGGTAAAAACAAACAAAAAGACTAACCAACCAAAACATAATCTAACCAAACCTAACCTGACCTTACATTAATTATCAGATGCTGGAGGGTTAAGCATTGCTACTTGTAGGTACTTTGTCCAACCAAGTGCCCTTAAATGCAGAAATTCAAAAGCCACAGTGAAGATGGCAGAATACCACGAGTCTTAAAACTGTCAATAGCAGCGGTTTCATTTTCAAAGACACAACTAATGGTTTACCGAGCTGATGAAAAACACCCATTCCACAGAGAAACCATCTTGCAACTAGCCAAGCATGCGCAAGAGTATCACGTAACACTGATTGACGGGACATAGTTACGTGAGTGAGATGTAAGCAATGTCTCCTGCCAAATGTACTTTAAGTCGAATCAAAAACTAAAAAAAAAAAATTATCCATATATAAATTTACAATGGAAACATAATAATTTTTTTTTGGGGGGGTTCTATCTCCCTATATAAATATCACTATAAAATTCCATGGTAGAATTTTTTTAATCTTAACCATAATTTCTTCTTTGGGGATTTTCTTTAGGTAGCAGATTAACCCAGACCAACGTCAGTGTTACCCTTTGTAGTACAAGAGTGTTTGTTCTGTATGTCTGCCAAAGTTGCAGTAATATACTTTGGATTAAGGGTGTTGGTTAATCAGCAAATTAAAAAAAAAATCCTTGGAAGATAACTTCCTTCTTTCTTAAATAATATCCCATAAACCTAGCCTAACCTACTTAACCTAATCAAAGTATATTATATATTTTTTCTTACTAGACTAGGAGTACTGTAAATTTCTAGAAAGATTCTGCATCTTTAATGTTTTCATTGGATGGGAAAATTCAATACTGTATATTGTTTAATGCATAGAATGTAAATGTGACAGAGAAACAAGGAAGACTACAGTATTTTGAATTTACTCTTGAAGCTGCCAGTAGGCAACTTTCTCCACAGGCTGAGGCAATGAAAAACAAATCACTGAACTAGCTCTCTTATTTTACAGTACTACTGTATTAGGTCACTGATTGCCAAACTTTGGTCTGATCCAGCCAGAATCAGACATAGTTCATTGCTAATTTTTCATCCACCAGAGGCCAGTGGCTTGCTTGCCAATGCATAACTGAAGTAAATTTTAAGATGTTAAAATTACCATAATGCTTGATAATTTTTTATTTTGCAGACTTGTATTGTGGAGGCAATACAAGAGTTATCTACTGAGGACTGTTTTGCTGTGGGTTTAAATAGAGCAAATCTACTGTGTTCTTCCTGTGACACCCTCAAGGAATTCAATCTTGATGTTTTAGAGTGAGTAAAAAAAAAAGTTATTTGTCATTTTGTGTCCAAAATGATTACTGTACACAGTATACAATTGTTCATTGAACATTATCTGTATGATACCCCAATACTTTAAAATTTTCTTCCACTTAAATTTTCAACAGATCAGATTGTAGAAAATGTTGCAATGTGGATGATGTTAATGCCACTCCAACCAAGTATCCACGAGCCCAGCTAGAGGTGTGTGGGTGACGACTGGGAGCCTTCCCACAGGTCCAGGGTCAGTTATCCCTCTTGTTTATTTTTTATATGAATTAACATACAAAGTTTTGCATATGAATAGTGAAATATTGTCTCCTTAATACAGTATAAAAATTCATGTTTCCAAAACCCTTGGAAAAAAAAGACTGGACTGAACAAACAGTCTTGTAAGTTTAATAATGAACAGGCAAAAACTTAAAATAGGAAACTGGAATGTTAAGACATTGTATGAAGGTGTAAACTGTGGGGCATTTGCTCGGAGATGTTGAAGTTGCATCATGACATTTTGGCATCAAGTGAAATAAGATGGACAAGCTTTCATGGAGAAGAATGTCTATTTGTATATTGAGGTGGTGGAAGGTGAGGTGTAGGTTTCCTTTGGAAGCAGAAATTAAGAAGTTATGTTAAGAGATCTTGGGCATTGTCAGATATTTCTGTTAGTCATGTTTAACATTAAACTCATGGGCTTGGCAATAATTCAGTTTTAAGCAATAAAATTTGATAAGGTTAGTAGAAGCAGCTGTGAAATTAAATGAATATAGTATATGATTATTGAGTTTCATTTTGATGCAATGATAGGCAGAAAGAAAGCACCAGAAGTAGGACAACATGGACTTGGTAAAAGAATGAGAGAAAAAAGTTATTTAACTTTTTATCTTGGATTGGATTTCATCAGCTCACTGTCTATGGAAATAACTGTAGATAAGGGAAAGTGGAGAGACCATTTGTCTAACATGTATGGGAGATAAGGAGGAAGTGAGGGGACTGGCTGTTGGCATGGCAAAGAGCTTGAGATTGATCATGACAAAATAAGATCATGGTTGAAGACTTACTTTTATTACCAATGTACCCAAATTCATACCTTTCATAGCTATTAGGTTTTTGCTTAATTTTAAGGTACAGTGTGTTTAAATTTTCATGTATGTCAAGTTATTCACTATTTTCTTCCCTTACACAGCATTCGTGAAGAGTGACCGACCTGTGGCTTTCCCTAATCTTACTATAAAGTGAGTATTGATATAGGATGACAGTAGGTGTCTTGCCTTCAACCCTCCATGTATTGTTATTCTTGCTTCTTCTATATAATGTTCAGACACTACTTCCTCTTACATTTCAGTCCCACTTGTGCTTAGTCAAACCCTTCCTTCTCTACACCTCCCTATAATCTGCTTGATATCTTTCTTTTTAAATATAATGCATTCTCTCTAAAGTTAAGTTTAAACATAAAAGGTGGCATAGGGATGAGCTCTGTGATTAATGCAAATAAAGCTGAATTGATGAGAGGTTAGTAACATATTGTATATGTATGTAAAATTGTGACACATGGTAGCACAGTACAGTAGACTGTACTTCCAAACATTAAGAGAAATTCAGTCCTTTACCAGACAAGTGTGTACCGAGTTGGTCACCACTATGGGAAAGCTAACCCCTTATTGCTTGGGGTTGCCACCAAGGTTTCCTCTTTATTCTTTATATCAGTGTGAAATATTCTCAGTGTAAAATTATTTTGTTACTGTAAATACACCAACATGAAGGTACTACAGTATAATGTGCAGACACGTGCCACCATTGGTAAAGAAAAAAAATGGTGATCTGTGTGTGAGAAAAAAAAAATCTTAAGAAATAATAGACAAGCATGCAGAACAGAATATGGAGAGAAAAATCTTTACTTACCATATAAATTGTCTGGTGGATTTTTCTTCATGCACAATTCCAATTTAATAATATGCAGTAATGGTCTAGGGACCACTTCCTTCCCTCTTATCACCCCTGAACTGTGATACGTAGAAGTTCCACTCTCCATACCTGATAAAGGCCTACTGAAGCTGCTGCTCACATGTCCACCCTTTTACACCTACAAAGCATAGGAACACCTTATGCATTTAAATGTCTCAGTGGGAAATGGGCTACTGTCAACATTAATGGGTGTTAGCTCCATTTTATGGGTTACCATACATTACTGAAGAAATTATGAAATACATTATCACACATACTGTAAATCATAGCACGGAAAACCCACAGAAGATAAAATGCAGAAAAACGAGCACTGTATATTCCATCTGTAACCTACTGCCCTCTTCAGCAGTGTGACAAAAACATTTACATAGGGAAGTTTTATAGGGGCACCAAGGGACATGACCAGGTGGCTGTGTCAAATTCCAGGTCTTGAGCTCTCAAGTAAGCTTTTTGAACAGTTACTGAGGTTATTAAATCAGGGGATCAGTGTCCTCTCGAAATTTTGAATTTTTTTTAATCAAAGCAGACTGATTTTTCTTCTAAAACTATAATTATATTTGTACAAATCTAATGTACAGTGATCTCATTTTTTTCTCCGACAGTGGATTTTCTGTTACCATAGATATGCAAGAAGTAGAAAGAATATAAAAAGGGATAAATAACTTCGTGCATAGCTTATGATGATTATGTAATATGATTGAGATATGTTGCACTAGACTGACTTAGTGTGGCCATGCACGTTCATTACATAGAAAGAACATATTGCCTCCCCATATAGTATGGGAAATGGAATAAAGGATAAGATTTTTAATTGGTTATGTTTTTCTCTTTCTAGGTATGTAAGAGGAGCGGATCCAGTCATTAAGTTAATGGATGAGGATGGTGATGTAATGGAAACATTAGCAATCGACAAGTGGAACACAGACTCTGTAGAGGAGTTCCTTAACACGTACCTAATTCTCCCTGGGCAGGGGGATGATGACACTGATAAATCTGCTAATGAGGTTTAAATATAAATTACATTCTATTCATTAGGGGTCAAATTGAAATGTAAATTGTATTTTGTATTCATCAGACACTAATTAAAAAGTTCTCTAATGAGGTTTTGTTTATTCAGGTTAAATAGTTTTAAAATTTTGTTGCACTACTTCATTCATTACAAAGATATTTTTTTTTTTTTTTTAATAAAAAAATATTTAATGTATTACTTATTATGCCCAAGTTGGTACTGATACTTGGGCGTTTAAAATGGGAAAAATAAGGTTTTGCAAATTCTCAAATGTAAAAATTAATATGTATTGTACTTTTGATCCATCTTTAATACAGAATTCCCTAATGGGCTTTATTAGTGGTTGGCAAGGTTAAAGAAATTTATTAAATAACTGTTTTACCTTCCAGTATTTGAACTTCCAGTATGCAAAGAATTTTCAAATTGTGTCGTTCAATTGTAACTATGAACACTTAGACATGGTGCCTCGGAGGTCAAGTAGAACAGTATGAAGCAGGAACCACAAACCCTTGTTGGGTCGGCTCCAGTGGAAGTTTGTTTTATCTTACTCCCGTGAGCAAAATGTTTAGGTTTTCACTTATTTTATTAAACATATTTTGCAAAATGTGTGTTTATTATATCCTCTATTGAATGAAATTCATAAGAAAAAAATTTCTTAGAAGAATGTATAGTACAGTATAGGTATTTAAGTACAGGTATAGTGTATTACTAGCTAAATTATCCATGCTCAAGGGTTAAAGAAGCGGTGAAATTTACATAAGCGTGTCCCATACTGTACTGAACAGGGTGGTCACTACTGCATGAAAAAACTACAGGCAGGTGAGTTTGACATGCATATTGCACAAAGGACTAGAGAGCATTGCACATGTAGGCAGAAGCAACGTCTCGGCTCAGCTGCGCTGCTATGGTGATTGTGGAGGCTAGCAGTCAGTGTCTACCCAAATGGTGGTCGAGTTAAAAATTTAGCTTTTCCTTAATGGTTTTAGCTGCAATTTTTCATCTAGATTGTATACAGATTTTGTTTGAAGTAGCACAATTGTTAAATTACATTGAGGAAGGTGGTATGGTTTATGAATGCCAGGGAATTGGAAGTGCTTTTGGCTTACCCGTGTAGGCTGTTACTATATACTATAGTATTGACTTTTTTTTTTTTGGCATGGTTTTAGTATTTTATATTCGTTTTGTATTTGTAATAGTAATGCGAGACTCGTCACTATAGCCCCGCTCCCTACCACTCCAGGCCAAGCTGTGAGCAGTTATGGTTATTTTTCAACTCATAATTTCAGGCAGATATAGTACGGTACTTAATTTTCATTTTTTTTTTGTAACTATGTTACATGCGCGCACAATCTTCCGTAACTTTACTTAGCTAAATACTAAAGACAAAATTAATACAGAACACACAAGAAATGCATAAACAGACATTAAATTAACACAAATACATGATTACTCACCAAAATAAAATCAAGATTACATGTCTAAGACAGGAGATGTGCCTGCCTGCATGCCCCATCACATGAAGATATCTGGCCAGATTCATGCAGTTCTGGTAGAGAGACTACACTTGGTGTTGCCTTGGGTTCTGACGTCACAGCTAAGGGGATGTGTGTGACTTGTAAGTAAACAATTTCACCTGACAATTATAATTATTAATCACTTTGCAGTACTTTAGTTATATATCACTAAACTTGTGTGTTCAAGATTCAATCCTTGACATACAATGAATTTCTAAGTTTATTGAGAACCATGATACAGTCAAGTCCTGACAGAATTACAACAGGAAATCAAGATAGCTGAGGAAAAGAAACAGTTTAATAGTGAACAAACCTAAATTATGTATTTTTTCAATTTTACACAAGATTCATACAATTAGTAATAACTCATTCACACAGTAATTCCCAAACACATTACAAGCTAAGGACTGTTCATGAAAAATAGTGTAGCAAATAGGGACCTTACCAATTCTGTACACAGTTATAATATTATTTGCAAAGTTCACAGTGTAATTTTCAATATTCACATTATGGTCCTTGGTGTTTGTGCCCAACCCTGGGTGTGGAAGACAATTGCAATTGGAATACCTTAATGCACACTGTTCATGGTTGGCCCTGGATATGGAAATCTGATGACAGTTCCTTCCAGGCCGTCTCAACACAATTGCTGTCCATTATTCTCTCGGAACACTTACAGCCAGTTTTAGGCAAAGGGTTGTAGAACTCCCTACCAGACTGTTTAATGTGAGTAGTACCCACTGTTTACCTGAGCATGTAAGCCAGTCTTGGGTAAAGGGATGTAGAACTTCCTACCACAAGTGTAAAGTACTACTCACAGCATTGACAAATGCCAGGAACCCAACCTCCCACAGATGTGACACTTAAATGCTGACAGTAATATAACGAAACTGTAGGGTGGAGGTTGGGGACAGCTGGCAGCCTTCTTCTGTAGTGTATTCTTTTTGCTGGATACGATGACTTATGTGAGCAATGAGTGGCCAATGTCTGTTTGCAGCAGCAGACATCACCCCTGTTTTCATAATGCTGGATAACAACACTTAACTGACTTGATGTGTAAACGGTGGGATAACAAAAAGTGCTGGTCGCGTCGCAAAGACAACAGTCAGCCTTGTTCCCACAATACTGGACTACGGCATTGAATCAACATATTGTGTGAATGGGAGGGATAGGTGACACGAATACAAAGTGCTATTTCACCCTCCTCAATGTCTCGGACAAAATTGGGTCAAATTTTAACACTAAGAGGGGAGCAAGTAGCTGGTCTATGCTTGGCTTGGTAAACAGATGAAGTACCCGGATGGTCAATGGCATTATCCTCACGCCTTCACCTCCAGACCAACATATGCACATGAACAAGTAACGCCTCTCAACGGTGTGAGTCTAGACTCTAGAATGTTCCGCCAAATCGTAGGTGCCAGCCTATAAATGTTACACAAATTGTGCCCACCTTTCCATTAGTTGCACAATGTCATATGAAAGGAACATATTTAATAGTGATGAATTTCAAGTCATCACTTCAGGCAAAGTTTCACATGCTTCTGATGGGGTTGGTGCACTGGGCTTGTGGCAGGTGTCAATACTAGTCTTTAATAACATACAATCTAACATCCAGTCAGACAGCTTTATAGTTTATCTTGGTGAGTCTACTTGCAGGACAATTTAGGGTCTTCTGAAAGAATGGTGCAACTTGAGTGGATTCAGCAGCTGCGGGTATGGCACTGCCACTTTGAATGCTTGGCTGGTGTGGATTGATTTTTTTTTTACTCATCATGACATAAGAAACATTACAGTATATCAAACAGTAACAAATTGTACAAGTTAACCTCAATTTCCCAACTTTGCCAACCTCAATGTACTTCATCACCCCTTAACAACTAAAGTGATAAGGTGAAGAGTTATGATTCATTCAAGCCATATGGATGTCTTCAAACTGTTTCATTCATTATGGATTAGAATGATCAGAACTATTGCAGTTCCTTATAAAGCTTGATATACCTTTCCCCTCTTATCTGGTACAGTAAGATTGACATAGATTTTTCTTGATGACAAAATTATTATGATTTTGTAGGAATCAGCTTTCCTTTTTCAGTAACCTTCCCAGGACAGTACAGCATGATTAATGTATCTTTACACTACTGTATCAGAAACAATTTATATAGTCTACAGTTTGCTTCACTTGTGATGTTTCATGCAAATATATTCACAAAATGTAGCAATCATTTTGTATAAATAATTTAATGTAAATCAAATTAGTTTCAATATGATAATTTTGTTATTTTATTAGTTACACCCAGAAATAAGGGTTCTTTCCAGTAGATCATGAACCCAATCTAAATTGTTTGTGCCTGTGAGGATATAATATCTAAATTACATAAAACAGAAAAAAATATAGTACATCTAGTAATATACAAATTATAAACCAATGTTTGTTTACAGACAAAGTTTTGAAGATAAAACTTTAAGATTTTCTTAATATTTGATGCACAGATGTTTTTCTGACAAGACTCGGTATGTTTGGTATTACAGTCAACCCTCACTTTACGCGGTTAATTCAACCCACAGGGTACCGCGGAAAGTGAGAAACGCGTAAAGTGAACAACATAACATATGGGATTAATTGAAATAGAGACCGGGCCGACCCCCAAACTCCACTTTTTGACGACACACAACTATGTTGTAGTAAAGATATTATCTTAACTTTATGATGGTATGCACACACAATTAATAATTAAGAGAAATATCAATAATATTAGTTTTTTTAACACTTACATTAGTAGAAAAGATGGCTGGGCACAAGGGGATGGGCGGTTGGTTCCGAGGCAGAGGGCAGATTATTGGCCCTCACCTGTGTCACTTGTATCAATTGTATCACTATCCACCACAGTGGCTTGCAGGGCCTCTTTGTCAAACCCCCCAAAGTCCATATAAGTCCATATCCTCACCATAATTATCACTATCACTGACTTGGGCCGGCTGTGGTGGGTGGCGGGTGAAGAACTCAGTAATGTTTTGATGACTGGGCGACCGTGGGGCACCCTGCTCGCACCACTTACACAACATGGCGGATGGCGGGAGAGATGGCGGGAGGTTTGGATCCAAAAATGGCGCGGCTCGCCAGCCGCTCTCCGCGTAAAGGGGTACACGCACCGTGGAATGTGAGCATTCCTGTTTCGGCAGGGTACCGCGTAAACGTGGAAACGCGGAATGTGGGACCGCGTAAAGCGAGGGTTGACTGTATTCTGAAATTCAGTAAGTAAAGATTCTGGGGCAAAAAATGTTGACCAAAAAAGATGGACAGATAAATGGAATATAGATCACCCTACATGACATGTCAGGTCATTTAGACAGGATTATTGAAATAGAAACCCTTTCTCTCCGGAGTACATAACCAAAATATAGCCCAAACACCTAAATATTGACTTCAACTTTGTTATACAACTTACCAAGTTGAAAAGCTCAGCATCTGTATCTGTCAGGAACCCAAAGAAGCATCAAAATCCTATTTTTAAACCTGAAGATACTTGGAGAGACATAAGTTGTATAGCAAAGGTTTGAAGGACATTTTTCAATAATACCTCTTGTTTGTCATTTGACCCAAAGTGCCCATTCAATTTTTTTCCCTATATTTGATTTGATGCAAAATTTTCACATCTTTTGATGAAAATTATATAAAACCAGATTTTAGCACATCTTATAACACATTCAAGTTTTTTTGTGAAATTGAATTTCATGTTTTCATTGTCATGTTACGACTAAATTATCGGTAATAAGTAGAAGGTGAATGAATTATGTTCATTATATGTGGATGGTTGTAATAATTAAAGTGTTTCATAATAAACAAGAATAAATTTTATAAGAACTGCTCACAATACATGGTAAGATTTACCTATTGGTTTCAAAATATTTTCATAAGAAAAAAAATGATTTATTCTATAAGACACACACACACTTGTATCACAGCAGAAAATTGTGCAAAGTTCTTCATCATCAACATACACTCTCCCAGAAAAGTATCGGCCCCCCCTCGGCCTGATGTATTTAGAAATGAACACAAGAACATGTGTACAGCAGTCTCGGTTCGGTTGGTATTTCCGATTGTGAGCTGTACCTTTTATTCTTTGTTCTTGCACCTGATTATCACCATGATATCTGCAGCATACCATCTATTCTCTACATAATGGAATGAAATAGGTATGAAATGTGATACCCTATGCAAAACCATTAACGTCATTAGTGACCCCACTGATTTATGCACCTTAGATACTATTTCAGCCCCAGGGGATGGGTTGCCAAATAGAAATATAACATTACTATGTTTTCATCAACCAAGGTTTCAATGGAATTACTTCAAACGAAATATGAAACACTATGATCCGATATTACATTCATTTGCAAATACATTATAGTAATTACAGGTGTTTTATGATGCCAAACCCAATTACAATGACATTATGATTTACTGCATTTAGATATTATTTCTACCTCAATTGATGAGGTAACAATTATGAGTATAACGTATCATCTCATGATTCATGCTGACAATGAAACATTATCTGATACACACTACGAGATGATATCATCAAGTCTTCCCAGGAGATTGACATTCACTATGGAGACAACACAGGCAAAACGAGGCAGTGTCATCGCCCTTCACGACATAGGCCTAAGCAACAAACATTGATTTAGAGCTATACAGGGGGCCCCCAAATTTGCGGGGTTTAGGTTCTCAAAGTGGCCGTGAATCGCCTAATCCGCAAATAACATTTGCGGATGGGGGGGTACATTTTTACTTGTGTACAAAGAAACACATATTCCCTTATGTGTTTACCCTAAGGACAATTATTTCTTTTACCTGTAGTATTTATATGTGTGTGTGTGTGTGTGTGTGTGTAGACACACACACACAAAACACATACAAATAAATAATAATGGGAAATTACTCTCACAAATAATTAGAAACAAATTTATTAAAAATGTGAGTCTACCCTTAAGTCCATGCTCTATTAATAGAGTACTGTAATAGAGAACGGACTTAAGGGTAGACTTACATTTTTAATAAATTTGTTTCTGATTATTTGTGAGTATTTTCCCATTATTACCCTGTAATTATTTGTGTGTGTCTACACACACACACACACACACACACATATATTTACAATACAGGTAAAGGAAATTACTGTTTCTAGAACTAATAGCTCTCTGTCCCAGCAACTTTATAAAACTACCCACAGACATTCTTGAGTACATCCAGGGTGTCATCCGCGAATAACCGAGAAACGCAAAGTAAAAATCCACGAACTTGGGTGGGAGCCCCCCTGTACCGTTATTCGGAAAGTGACATTTCTCCATGTCTGTCGGTGCAAGCTGTGTTTTCCAATGAGTCTCAGGTACTAGTGTTGGTCATGGATTTCCAGCAGAAAACAGCCACTATTTCACTGCTGTTGTTATATTTTTGCAATATTAATATCATTATATTATTCTACTATAGGTGGAGCACAGTGATTCACCATAATTACAACAAATGTCACAAATAATAACTAGCAACTTCACAGACACTAGAAAGGCAGGCCTACTAACATAATGCAGGAATCACAGTTAGTGATAAGAAATATTTGTCCCTTGTGACACATTGTATAGATGAGAAAGGGGCTGATACTTTTTGAGTGTACAACTACTTCAACAATAATCTATATACAGTATTCATAATTATCACTAGCTTTCATTAAAAAAAATTCAATCACAGCATAAGTTCTTCATCATCAATCTACAACTACTCCAAAAATTAGCAAAATAAAGTACAGTACACATATTTATGACTAGCTGTAATTTATTTGAATCATCACAGCTAACATTTTAAAACACGTATGTTACTATACATCAACAAATTCCTCACTACTGTACAATATAAAATGGAGATAACTAATAAAAACACCAGCAAACAGATGGAGGGAAACATGTATTTTATTCTTCGATATATAATCATCATATAATCATAGAGTTAATTATTCATTATTCTTTCACTGTAGGAACTGTATGTATTACTATATATGCTTTGCTTCCTATCACCTTAATTCACAATAAAAACTAGCCAATCTCCAAATCGTTACTTATCATTTATTATTATGTTTTCTGTCCATCTGTGATCAATTTTGTTAATGCCTACTGTAATAACCTTTCCTTAGATTCAATGGATTGATATAAATTTTGGTGTAAAACTGGATTATGACAGGGTACCACATAGGCCTGCTGGGCTAGCCCAAATTCAGCAAACCCTCAATGATTCAGATCCAGTAAATCTGGATTTCTGAAAATTCTGACAAAATAGGAGAGTTCTGGGAGCTAAGAAGCATCCCTAAGAAGCATTCCCAAAACAGAGCAAAGATCATCTTAGGCCAGTGTAACTAAGATGTCAAAGTGCAGGACACAAGTGCCAGAGGCAGGAAACATAAACAGAGTTATCATTTGTTGTTTGTGGGAATATTATTTAATTCATTCTAGTAATGATATTTGTTTCTTATGATATCGTAGGTAAATGAATGGTTTACATAATTTGTTTATCACTGTGCCTGTCATCATTTTCAAATTAGATTACAAGATATGTATTTCACCTATATGTATCTTGATTATATAACTGGCAATGGGAGCGAAGGAGTGACCACTAGTAAGAGCATCATCTGCTCTTGTAACTCCCCGTGCTCCCTGCTATATTTCACTGGATTTACTGTTATTATTAGTGTTTACTGATATAATAGCGCTTAATAGTGATTAATCATGACACTGTAGCCAGGATAGACTCATCACTGTAACCACCAGGCTACTGAGCCAAGTTGTAAAGTGTTATGGTTGTTTTTCAACCCGTATTTTCAGGGAGATATATTTAACTTTCTTCATTTATTTTTACTCACTTACATGCACACACCATCCTACATACACGTTGTAAATAAAGATAAAAGAAATAATTGCCCTAAGGGCAAACACGTAACGGGAGGAGAGTGCAGAGTGTAGGGGATGGAGAGCGTTGCTAGGGAAGCGACGTCCCAGCTGGTCTTCATTACTATGGTGAAGCAGGTAGTGTATGCAAATAGCAACTGTGTTAAACTTTCATTTGGCTTTTATTTACCATTTTAGTAATACAATATTTTGTGTTGTAATCTATTTATTGGTATTATTTTTATTTATTCCTGACATTTACTGGTACAGGTAGTTCTGCTATAACGCGATAATTGTGTTCTTGTAAAATATCGTGTTATAGAAAATCGCATAATAGAAATAACAGGGCTTATGGAGAAAATAGGGTTAGGTGCAGATTACTCGAAATCGAAAAAATTTAGTAGTTAGCCTAACACAAAGGATAGCACAGTCTAAATAAATGTTACATTCATATCTAATAATGAAATCATACAGTAAATGTAATACTTTACCTTGAAAAAATATGAATGTAACTTGATGGGGGAGAAGGGTGATTTTAAGGTTGATAACATGGAGCTTCTCTTCAAGTGTTATATCCTTTCTTTTACGATCATCACCGGGAATTCTATCACCAGAACGCTTCTTGGAGATATTCTTCTTTACCATATTCACAGTTAATACCACAAAATTGGAGAAATAGTAAGCAAAAATCGCATTATAGCAAACAAGTGTTCGCGTTATACAAATATCGTTCCTAATTCATAAATCGCGTTAGAGCAAATTCGCGTTATCAAAACACGCGTTATAGCAGAACTCACTGTACTGTATATAATATTTTAAGAAAACTATGGCTACAAGAGGAAAATACACACAAAAGTTTTTCCTAAACACCACCTGCTTATATGCCGTAAAATATGGTATTTGTTCCGTGTGGTTTTATTATCTAAATCTTTTGGCCAATTTTAAAGTAATATGAGAAATCTGTCATGGCATTACTCAGCCAAACAAATAATTTACAATGGCACATTCTTTATATTGGAGATTAAACTACGATTACAAAGTGATGTCAAGCCCCTGAGTCTATGGAAAGTTATCAAACAGAACCCAAGTTTGTCACAGATGGATGGATGGACGGGCAGACATATGGACAGACAGCATCACTGTTGTATCTCATGAGCAAAAAGATTCTAGAAAGATACAGATTTCAAATTTGTTTGTGATAATATGAGGAGTACAGGACTGAAGTATCAATTAAATCTGCACTAAAAATGCTACAATCTGCCACTTGAAACATTTCAATATCTTTGTTGGTTCCAAAGTTATAGTAATTTGAAAGTTCACAAACTTTAACTTCATTTTACTCTATCATTTCGGGCACTTGTCCTACTTCAGTTCTGTGCACCTCATATTCAGATAAAACATTCGAAAAAGTTCTCCTCTGTGGAAGCAAACCTTAACCTTAGATTGAATTTAGAAAAAGAAGTCTAAGGTGACAGAACAGATATTCCTCTTTATCAGAGAGCATAACTACAAATAATATAATTACAAAAGCACAGGTATAACCTGAACTAAATGACACAAAATCACATTCTTCCTAAGCCAGAGAAAAAATCTAAAGTTGTTAATCTAACATAAGCTTAGGCACGTAGTATCTTGGCTCAAACAGCTTACCTTTCTCAACACAATCATAAATCCAATCTGACATCACCAAGTGTCTGCCACCCATCTCACTTGGCCGTTGGATGCTCTCTTTTCTGGAAAATATTTCAATGAAAGATTCAGACCTAATTAATGTTGTTTTTTTCACCTTACTGTTTCATCAGTTTTTACTATAGTTACATGCAGTAATTCTCTGTGCAGTGAATATACCATACTGAACTTTTTAGATGTGATGAATAAAATGACAGATATTGTCTATCATAGTGCTTGTACAGTTCAAGACAAAATTCCCTGGACATGCATCAATATCTGGCATGTAAGTACTTGAGGATCATTAGGTAAGAGAGATTGAAATTGTAATAAATTTTCTCAGATTTTTCTTTGTGTTCAGGAGTGCTTTTACTACTTAGTGATTCTGACATAATATGTGATGAAAAGCAGTGTTACTAGATTAAAACCAATCATACATATATGACCAAGAAATAGATGTTAGATATTGCCAAGTGTTCAGGGAATTTCGTCTGAACTGTACCTGTCTTAATGTCAGGTGATTATTTAGCTCCCGTCAGAAACAAATATTCCTTATTGTCAATCATAATGCTATATAACAATATCAGACTACGGGCATTCTCAGGGGCCTTCCAGCCAAGGCAATCATATGTCCTGTATGGAAGCTGATCTGTACTGATGGGTGTATAACAATTTTGAGCCCCTTAAATAATAGTCCACTTATTGTTGACAATAAGGCCAAAGTTGCAGGATCATTAACTGGAGACACAGACAGACAACTGGAGATACTGGGCAGGCAGATACACTTAGCCACTTTATAGACTACATATTTCCCTAAACTGACTGAACCAACTAGCACATGCAAACTGGCTAGTTTAGTAATAAGGAATAATCTCAAATTCCAAAACTGAGATCCTAAGTAGATGAAGTTATCAAGACTGGTACCAAGAGTTTTTAGTAAGTTGAAAAATGTGAAAAATTTATGGATGACCAAAAATGACCAAGCATAGTCCTCTGAAACAGATTAAAACATATCCTTACCCGGTAACCACATGAGTAGCATTGTCCAAGGTGTTAGTGACAGAGCCACCATGAAGTCGCAACATGAGTGATGCAAGATGATGCTCCTCTTTATTACACTGAAATACCAGAATGTATGATTTGTCTGACAGCAGTTGAACAGCACATCCAAAGGGATAAAAGCTGTATTCTCCAAAACATTTTAAGTTGACTGTCTCTCTCCCAATCCAAATACATCCAGCCTGTCTGTGTTCAAATTATTTTTAGCAAACTTGTAAATTTGTTTATAGAGTAAAATCTTATCCTCAAAATGATAAAATCTAAAATATAATGCATCAAGTACATTAGGTCCAATAATAATGGGGATAGTTTTAAAGGAATTTAGTATATTAGTATGTGTGTGTGCATCTTACAAACATTCCCAAATAAAAATCAAACTGTATTATGTTATATCAAGAGCCATACAAATGACCAAATAAATACAAGATATACAACTGCTTCAACAATAGTCTCTTTGAAGCAACGAGGCATGTTAGACACAAACACAAAATGCTACTCACAAAAAAAGCTGTAATGAGTCGGAAGAGACCTCGAGTCTCCAGTGGGTCACATGTTTTTTCATCCAGCTCACACATTTCTTCTGCTGACAGAGGAGTCCATGACTGAAAGAATTTTTTCCAATCAATATGTATTCTATAATTTACATGAATGCTGATTAACTCTTTCCTTACTGCATGACTGAACTGGCATGTGAATGTATGATGGTAAAATTATACATTCAAAGGAAGTTTTACTAGATTATTTAATAAGGAAAAAGTTATGGACATTAACCATCATGTGAATAAGAAGTCAGCCCAGCCACTTGCCTCAATTCATGAAGAAGTGAGAGTGCTATCTGTAAAACTTAAAATTAATATATTTCTATAAATTCATCTGCTTCTTATATGTAAGCATTTTCATCAGTTATCTTGGTAGAATAATAATGAAACTGTGTAAATGTTTGGAATATATAGACTTATTATAAAACAGTGGTTGATGCATAAGATGTACCCCCTGTATATGTGAAACAGTTAACATATAATGAAAACTTATTTCTTTACTTGTTAGCAATGTATATGTATACCAGTATGACATATAGCAAGGACCTCCTGTGCTGTAGCCTTTTTTTCTATATAATTTTAAAAATTTCAGCAAATATACAGTTGGAGAAATAACTACCATGACTAGGTGTAAATTTAGACTTCTTTTTCTCCACAAATCTTGTTCAAAAAAAATACTCAGAACAACCTTAGTATTTCAAAGAGCTGCATCCCTACTTGCACTGAGGACTAACCAATCATCCAGAGAGATGAAGGAAAGTATCCCCATCTTACACATCATATATTCCAGATAGTTTGGTAAAGATCATCAAAGGTAACCTCAATCCAAAAGGAACAGCTTTAAATTGCAAGTACTCTATACGAAACCTCAAAATTCAGAATCTTACCAAAACCTTATGATTAGGAATGGAAACATTATTGTGACCCCTGGATGCCTAAGTAATATTGAAAATCCCAGAAATATTAATATGAAGATTTGACTGTTCAAATAACCTATTTAATCAACATTTCTTCCATAAAATCCCAAAGGACTTTTTTCAACCCTTTGATCTGAAATCCTGTGACAGGCCAGAGCACCCCATCTTCTACTTAAAACAGTCTTCTTCACTTCATAAACCTATGGATAGCCCACTCAATATTTTTAGAAATGAATAGTCAACCTCAATAGGGATTAATTCGTTTCTTTTCTTTGTATGTGGCAAAGTCTCAGAAGACTTAACTACTGTAATCTAATTAGTTTCTCTTTTTTAGAGATGAGTACAGCACCCTGACAGAGACTGGAAGGATCTGCATTGAAATTGTGCAACAGATAATAATTCAGCTGAAAAAAAATTTAAGGAATGCCCCAGTAAAATATAAGAAAGTCTTGAAAATGATATTACTGACTGTAACCGAGATTTTTCTTATTATTTTCCAAACCAATCTTGAGATTCTTATCATCTGCTGATAAGGAGACTATAGTCAATGTCAATAAATTTCTAACTCATTAAGTCTTACAAATTATAATCAACAGTAACTTACCTCTTTCTTCATATTATCCATAACCCTCTTAAGGCTCTTTTTATTTGCTGGCTCTGTGTAGCTATCACCAAATATATCAAATAAATCCCTCATGTGGCTCTTCTCCTTTTTCTGCAGATGCATTACATCCAAGGGACCCCACGGTAACAAACGACTACTTTTTGTACAATCTTCAATCCATGAAGGTCGTACAACATTGTGTTTCGATGAGTAGTTCTTTACACGAATAGACATAGTGTTTGTTACAATGCAGTGCGTGTTCTGACCTACAATAAAAGAAACAAATTTAAGTGGAAAGGTAAGTTGATTTCATGTCCTTCCATCATTTATCTTATCCATATTTAATAGACTCCCTCTTATGGCATCCGTTTTTGGCTAATATCACCAGATTAAAGGTGCATGGACTGGCATTTCTGTACAGGCAGTCCCCGAGTTACGAATAGGTTATGTTCTTGGACCCTGTTCAAATGTAACATGATTTTTTTACCTCATTCAATGCAGCTGGTCTAGATTTCAAGTGCACCCTCAGTGTAGCACTTTGGCACATAACAGGTTTCTGTTCCTAATATGGCACATCTACAGTCTAACTGCCAGAGACAGGACCTCTGTATATGTGGCATGTCCACAATGAATGGATTAATCATTTACAGTATATATCATGAGATGCATAATAAAACATCTACAGTAAAAGTCCAAAAATCCGGATGCCAGAAATCCGGACCACCCGAGAATCCGGACTTTTCGAAAACTCAAACTTTTTTTTTAATTTAGCAGGATTTTGTGTGTATGTGCACATGCGTGAGCGCCACAGCTGCACAGCGACAACAAGAGACAACGCGGTCGCCACTTTAAAACAAGCAATCAAACTGTGACAGCTTATGTAATTTTGAGTCCTACTCTTTCCATTTACAGAGTACTGTACAAGCCCATAATAATGGCTCCTAAAGTAGATAAACTTCGTTGTGTGAAGAGAAAGAAGAACACGTTGAAATTGAGTGACAAACTTGAAATAATTAAGAAACTAGAACGTGGTGTGAGCAATACTGTTCTAATGGAAACATTCGACATTGGAAAATCTACAATTTATGATATAAAAAAGGCAAAGAATAAAATTCTATAACTCACAACTTTTTCTTTAAAACTGCTCATTTTGATAAATGAAGCATGCTGTATTTGCTAATGAATAAAATATCAAAATGTACCTGTTCATCCCTTCTTCATTCCTCCTTAAATTTGAATTTTAAAAGTACTGCCTGAGAATCCGGAAAATCCAAAAATCCGGACCGACCCAATCCCCAAGCAGTCCGGATTTATGGACTTCTACTGTATCTAGTTATCTATGAACTTTACTCCAGCCTCAACTAAATTTACTGAAACAGGTACATCAAGTCTTATATGAAACATGGTTAAAATTTGAATAAAATCGCCATTTCATCTTTTTAGAATGCTCACCAGGATGCTGGGTAAACGAGCCTCCGTGTTCAACTAACAGTGTCTCTAGCTGTTGTTTGGTGTTGTCATCACTGCCTCCCATCACACACATCTCCAGTCCAGAAAATATCTCGCCTTTCTGAAATGGGGTAAATCCTGGTGACATAGTGTCTTTCACAATATTAACAGAGAAAGACTGCAGAATTTTCCATAAGCACTTAGGTCATCATACAGTAATACCACAGGAACCTACATGAGATGCTTTTTACAGTATATATAACCAATGTATCCTTGACCCTAAGTCCATCAAACATAATAAAGTTAGTACAGTGGTCCCTCGGTTAACGAACACAATTCGTTCTAGAAGGTCGTTCGTTAACTGAAAATTTCGTTATCCGAAACCATTGTTTCAATGGGATTTTTGGTAATTGGTTTCAGCTCACCAAAAATTACATACAAACTAAAAATAAATGCAGTTAAGTACACTTACTTTGAGGTGTGCATGTAGAAGGTTCCTGGTTGATGATGATGATGATGATGATGATGGGAGTTAGAAGTGGGGGTGGAGGAGAAGGGAGAAGAGAAGGCAGTGGGGTGGAAGAGAAGTCACCCCATACTTCATGCCGCCATTTCACCCATAAAATTTGAAGTTCACTTGGTGTAATTCAAGATTATTATCTTTAAATCAACACTGCACTGCATTATATATTGTCAGTATGTAAAATAAATTTCAGAATGACCAATAATTGTACTGTAAAAATAGTTTATGTTCAAGAGTCTCAAGCAAGATGCTTCCTCCACTGAGCAGAGACACAAACTGATGCCATTCTGGGCAAGGTAGGTAGATGACAGGTAGCCTCACGCAGGCCCATAGGAATTCACTAATTGGCAACTCTAATCTCGAGATCGCTAAGCCACGCCCCTTATGCCACATCATGCGTTTGTAATATTGTGGTATTATTATCTGTATAGATCCTTTCTGTAATCAAAATATACTAGCATAAAATGTTATTAATCAGATATATATTTAATAATATGTAATATACAGTGTATATTGCCATGTAAATTATACAATAAGAAAATGTTTGACGAAATTTACAGTAAAACGGGAACTCTGGTCGAATTGTAAAATATTCAATACATTTCCTCCCATTTTAAATATCCCGCTTCTACTGTTTGATGTAACTCAGTGGGCGGAGCTTAATAAGTGATGTCATCGCTAGCCAATCAGCGACGTTGGATGAAATCCAGCGGTCGCAAGTAAGATATTTATATTTATTTTATACAGTATATTTAATCAGTGGCTCCAATTAAAATATAACAAAAAATCTCCATTCCATACATTTATTGTACAACTTTTAATACCATCATAAGCCTTAAAAAATACGTAAATAAAAATTTCATTTTTACTTTCATTAGCGTAGATCCTATGGGAGTAAGGCTACCTGTTATCTATCTACCTTGATTTGGGTGAGTCAAGTGGGTGTTTGGCGCACTAAAAACTAGTTCCCTGTTCTTCAATTATGTTAAATACCTAATTGTTAAAATGACTAAAAATTTTAATATAAGATTTGGAAAATTATTGAATAGTACAACCTTCTTGATATTTACTCAAACGGTAACGAATTTAAGCCCTAAAACCGATTACTGTATTGGCGGACTAATACTACAGCTGGCGAGCAGGCGAAAGCAGGCAAAAACATGTTGGGAAAATTTTTAAGGAATTCGTTAACCAAATTTTTTTCGTTAACCGAATTGAATATTCTTATAGAAGGTAATTAGTTAACCGAAATTTTGTTAACCGAAGCATTCGTTAACCGAGGGATCACTGTAATGGTAATAAACGATTAAAAAAAAGTACAGAATGTATACAATAAAACTCCCCAAATCCCATTTCAAACTCCCCAAATCCCACTTCAAACTTTTTTTTAAATAATTAAATTAGGTAAAGGTATAGTGAAGCAGAAAAAAAAATACAATGAGTATTCTTGGGTCATTTGTAAATGAAGAGTCAATCAGTAAATCTGGTCTGTAGTTTGTGCTAAATATATTTACACCAGATCATGTTTTGAAACTGATCACATAATGTCATCCAAAAGAAGCATAGCACTGCCAGCAAGGAAATGTGTTACTGACTAGAAACAAGAACATCTAACTATACCTTCCACTAAGAAAGTGTGATATTAACTATTACAAAAAATAAAAACATCTTGACCGAATCAAAGCAGCTAGCATGTTCATGCAAGAATATGTGATTGGTAAAATGGTACATTAACCCTGTATGACAGAAAAGTTCAAAGGATACAGCTGCTTACATTATATATTAAACAGAAAGCAACCAAGCAAGAGATAAATACAATTAAATGAACTTCTAATTTTTTATAGTAAGAAAAAAATCTAATTGCTGCACAATACATGAATATTGTATATACAGTATACAAAGCAAGCTAATATATCCAACTTTGTATACTGTACAAGCAGTCCTCACTATACACAGCCTCTCTATACCTATTCTTGCATTATAAATTAGTGAATTTTTTTTCACTAAATGCTTCATATTTTCACTGATGTCCATTTTTCCTGCCATGGAAATTTGAAAAATTGCACCCAAGCTACTTTAGACTGTACTACTCCACTGAATAGGGTTCATTGTGCAGGTACTACTCTTTTGCCAATCCAGGGTGTTAGGCCAGGAACCTATCCTTCATAATGAATTAATTTTGTTCTTACAGTAGTAAATATTATTCTGTGGTTTGTTGTACAAATGAAAAAGTTCTCCAAAGTTGCAATTTAATTTTTCACCAGTATCCTTACTTCTGTGAGCAGAACCTATAATATGTTTTTGTAGTGAGATAAATAATACCGTGAATGATGATACATTCTATACCCAGCAATATCTAAATTTACTGTTTTTATGTATTTACAGTGAGTATCCACTTAATTACAGATTTAGTGATGTTCTGAATTGAATTTAAGTTATTATTAACTTAGTTTGGTTAGGATTGATTGGATAAGGAGTCTGAAACTCAGCCCCAAAGAACACATCCTGAATTTACAAAACTATGTCTATGGGAAAATCACTTTCACTGTACAAACTTGCACATTATGCACCACATCTGTGGAATTCATCCTTTTCACATACTGAGGACTGCCTGTATTCCTGTATTGGTACTTTAATCACTTATGCTATTTTCTTCAAATTTTCTGGTCAAAAGAAAGTGTTTCCAGTAGACCAAGAATGTTAACCTTACATTATATTGTCAGTCATAAATTGGCAATTATTGAAAATTCACCCTGATGGAATACATTTGGTCCCAAAGAACTTCAACATTTTGGGAGTTTACTGATATCGGTCTTCACCAATGAGAGAGCTGGTGCATATCTGTAACACTTTACTCCTACTCATTGCAGTGCCACAGATCAGAAACCTGTGCTGTAACAATGCCCAAGCCAGAAGAGTTAGCTTAGTGTGTGTGCTTGAGATGATGAGTAACCAGCTATGCAACAACCCCCAGACCAAAATACTTAACTTTCTTAGTGCCATTAAGATGATGAGTAACTCGCTCTAACAACCCCCAGGTCAAAAGAGTCAAGGTGAAGAGTAAGATTAATCAGTGCCCTTAACATTACAACAGACCATAACAAATAAGGACCAATTAATCCTATCTGGCAACAGAACTGACATCAAGTCTTGGGGTTTCAGGGCATTACCAAGTGAGTTGTTGCATAACTATAAGCAGAATGTGTCTTACCTTCACCACATTTGATAGGTCAGCTGGTCTAAAGTGTAGAGGCAATGAGGGCTGTTCTATCTTGGCTTGGGTCTTGCGTTTGGCTGAGGGTTCATCACCACCATCAATGTAATGTTTTGTGGCCAACTTGCCACTTGCTTCCTGAAATGATTGTTAGTATGGCTGCAATTAAGAATATTAAAAGGATGTGAAGCCCATACTTTGGATGCACGAGAAAAAGCAAGTTGGGTGCAGTGGAAATTATGTATACTTCAGACCAATATGTATGTGAGGTGAATGACATGCAGCAAAGAATAAACAATGAAATATATAGAATATTTATTTAAAATTATATATATATATATATATATATATATATATATATATATATATATATATATATATATATATATATATATATATATATATATATATATATATATATATATATATATATATATATACATATATATATATATATATGTATATATATGTATATATATATATATGTATATATATAGTTAACCCTCACATTACGCGGTTAATGTAACCCGGAGGGTACCGCGGAAAGTGAGGAACGCGTAAAGTGAACAACATAACATATGGGATTAATTGAAATGGAGTCCAGGCCGATCCCCAAACTCCACTTTTTGACGACACACAACTATGTTGTAGTAAAAATTTTATCTTAACTTTATGATGGTATGAAAAAACAAGTAATATAGAAGAGGTTAGGTTAGGAAAGATAAAGGTTAACATAGGAAAAATAAAGGTTAGGTTAGAAAACTAAAAATTAGGTGTAACACTTACGGTAGTAGAAGAGATGGGTCGGCATACGGGGATGGAGGCTGGTTCCGAGGCAGAGGGCAGATTACTGGCCCTCAGGTGAATCACCATTACTAGGTGAATCACCATCACTGTCACTTACAGTTGTCAGGGCTTCCCTGACAAATCCCTCAAAGTCATCTTCACTGCCACTATCACTGGCTTGGGCTGGCTGTGGTGGGTTGCGGGCGAAGAAATCTGTTATGCTTTGCTGACGGCTGGCGTTGATGTTGTCGTGATACACCTTGATGTACGGCTCCATAGCCTGCACCAGCCGGGTATGGAAGACTTCATAGCGGTCATCGTCATTGTCGCGGGAAAGGAAGGACTTCATCTTCTCTGCACACTCCATGGCACCCTTAATATCACTATGACTTAAATTGTGTTCTTCGGAGAATGACGCACCTTCTTCCTCCTCTTCACTGACGTGTTCTTCTTCCAACATCTCGTCGGCAGTCACTTCAGGATCTCTGATCACCTCCAGGATGTCGTCGTTGGTGGTCTCGGAGAAGCCTGGAACTGTAACAGTCTGCGCAGCTTCTCTGGCAAGGTCCACTGCTACTGCAACATTCTGAACCTCACCAGTCACAGATTGACTCCTCCTCTCACCTGGTATTCCATGCAACACATGTCTCCATGCGTGACGAATTGTAGCAATAGACAGCTGATCCCATGACTCCACCAAGAAGTCCACAGCTTTCTTGATGTTAAATACTCTCCAGAATTGTTTGAAGAGTATTTTTTGCTGTTCTAACTGTTGATCCTCATCTTCTTCGCTCTTGCTATCGGTGGTGGTGTCACTCAGGTTACGCAACTCTTCCCTGGTGTTGGTGTAGTCGTTCAGGAGCTGGAATTTTTTTGTTGAGAATGCAGCTTTCACATTGCAAATCAACTCCTGGTCCATGGGCTGGATTAAAGACGTAGTGTTGGGAGGAAGGAAGACCACTTTTACGTTGGGGTGACGATCTAACAGTAGGGGCGAGTGTCCTGGTGCGTTGTCCAGCAGCAACAAAATATTAAATGGGACATTCTGTCGCTCACAGAATTTCTTTACATCGGGAACAAAACAGTCATCAAACCAGGAGAGGGACAGTGTAGAGAACATCCATGCCTTACGTGCTGTCAGCCAGTGGACATTTAGCTTGGTCATGTCCATGCTCTTGTAGGCGTGCGGCTTGCGGGCTGTGTGGATCACCGATAACTTGAGCTTACAGGTACCGGAGGCATTGGTGGTAAACAGGACGGTGATGCGTTCCTTCTGCATTTTCCGGCCCCGAATCCTGCTGGCATTCTTCACAACGAAGGACTTGGAAGGTAGCTTTTTCCAGAAAAGACCAGATTCGTCCATGTTAAACACCTGGTCGTCACTGTACTGTCCTTCCTCCATAATCTCACGTAAAAACGGAGGAAATTCCCGAGCCGCAGCACGATCAGCACTCGCTTCTTCACCACCAATGTTTATATTGGTGATCTTGTTCCGGATCTTAAACCTCTGTAACCACCCAGAGGAAGCATTAAAGGGTTTGGGCTCTGAAGTTCCCATCTTTCGTGCCACTGCCATGTACAGTTCACGTGCGTAGTCCTTCACAGAGCGCGTGTCGACCGCCATGTTCCGTCGCGCCTGACGCACCAAGTACCTCACAAGTAATTTTTCTGTCTTGAGAAGCACCTGGTTGTGAAAATACTTGATCATAGAAGCACCTGTAGACTTTGTGATCTTCATGTGCTCCTTTATCTTGGCTGAATCCTTCTTTATAGTCCGGATCGTAGATTCGTTCACGCCATGCTGGCGCGCCAAATCAACCTGCCTTGTTCCTTTCTCCAACTCTTGGATGATGCTATACTTCACCTCGTAGCTTAAGGAACGTCGTGTCTTCTTTGGTTTAGTGCCGCTGGGTCCAGGTAAGGAAAGGTTTCTCTCTGGGGGTGGTGGTCCGGCGGAAGCCATTTTACGGAACAATGGATGCGCATTTACACGGAGTGGCCTTGAGGGATGAAACTGCCGCGGTTAGGTCAAGCGTTGTCTTTCCTCCCTCCCTCCCTCCCCCGGGTGGACACGTCATAATACTTTAAGCCAATTACAGCTAGCAGCAGAGGGGGGTAGGGATGCATGGCCAATCACAGGTCTGATACGTCATATGACGTCAGTGATAAAGCAAACAAAGACACACTGCGCAACCTTACCGCGCCGCTTGCCCAAGCGGAGGGAGGAGGAGGGAGAGGCAGGCAGGCAGGCGGGCGGGTGGCAGGTGGGGCGAATCTAAAAATAGCGTCGCGCCGGACACTCTCCGCGTAATGGGGTTCACGTACCGCTTAATGTGAGCACGTGAGGTTCTGGCAAGGCACCGCGTTAACGTGGAAACGCGGAATGCGGGACCGCGTAAAGTGAGGGTTAACTGTATATATATATATGTGATTTTAAATAAATATTCTATATATTTCATTATTTATTCTTTGCTGCATGTCATTCACCTCACATACATATTGGTCTGAAGTATACATAATTTCCACTGCACCCAACTTGCTTTTTCTCGTGCATCCAAAGTATGGGCTTCACATCCTTTTAATATTCTTAATTGCAGCCATACACATTCTAACATGCATAAATACATTTTCTTCTCTTTTAACTTCTCCATTCCTTCTTTTCAACTTTCCTATTATATCTGTTCACTGCAACTCTTTTGGTACAATTCCATTAATGCTATAAAAAATTCTGATGTCCTAAACATTTCAATATATAGTAGTACCTCGATAAACTGGACTAAATGTGGTAGAACCCCAGTCTGGAAAAACCAAAGGTAAAGAAAAAGTGAATCTATAGAGGGGGGGAAGGGGTCTAGACAATGGACATAACCCTGTTTATCTGGACTCTTTCAAGAAAATCACATATAAGTCTAGTTGTTGACAAATGTTTTCTCTGATATGACTTTTGTGCTGTGAAGTGTTATATGTAGGTATATTATTGATAACCATAGAATTTGCAAAAAAAGGAGTTTCAATGTACCTTAAGAATAAAGAAAAACTGTGAGATGGAGTGTATCTGAGAGCAGGAGGTAGTGCAGGTGGGTAGCTCCTTCCCCAGGACCCCTTTAACGCATCTTTATACAATTTCACCATAATTCCCATATTATTTAGGTTCATATGGTGCCGGGTTGATAAAACATTATCGTAAAATAATAACCTCTCCCATATTACAAAACACGATCAGCAGATCACCCTCACTCTCTTTCACCATGTTAACAGCATTCTGCATCTCTATCATTTATAACAAAATCTGTCTTCAGGAACACATCCTGAGTGAATACCTTCCAATACAGCTTATCCTTTTATTTTCAAGTAAATTAAAATTATATCGTATTATTTTTTTTTATTATTCTTCAATTGAAATTTTGTTATATAAATTCTGATGACTCATACATCATAAGCAGCTGATCATGCAAGAATATAATACTGTACTGAATCAATAAATACACCTTGAGAATGCAGCAACGCCTGGTGCACTCCCACCACCACCCCCAGCCATCGTACTTAGTAGCTCTCGTTAGGCTACTATAGAGTATTCAGTGAGCACGTGATGTTTTTTTCATTAGCATTTTCTAGTCTTACCCTGTTTTTAAAATAGGTATTCTACAAAATTTTATCCCTTTCATAAAATACGTACTCTACATAAAAGCTAAAAATAAAAAGTTCACGTAAATGAGTGTAGACGGTGAGATACAGCACAATGATATAGTACATATAATGGCAGGACTCAGACCAAGATGTGTAGCATTCAGCGCCACACACACGCACGCACGCACGCACACACACACACACACACACACACACACACACACACACACACATCTACACACATATGAACACACAAACCATCTAGACTGATGGTGGATTTCCTGGACATTTTTTAATATTGCTGGTGAATAGAGGGGCAATCTGGAGCACCTTATAGAGTCCAAAAAATTGAATTCCGGTGTATTGAAGTCCCATGTATAGAGGTTCTACTGCACTTACAAGAGTGACACTTTATCTCATACAGTACATTACTATTTCATAACCTGACTGTTATCTCACCTCAATTATGTTTTAGCTGGTTCTCTACAAATTCATACATAAAAAAAAATTACAAACACTAAAATCCAACCTTTACAAGCTGGTCTAGCTCTGTAGTGGTGAGGGTGTCATACCAAGGCTTGTCGTATCGTACTTTTTCAACTCTAGGGAACCTCAGTGTCACTTTAGCTTGGTACAAGTCACTCTTCACAATCTCAGCAGCCCTAACCTGTAAAAAAAAAATGTTAAATGTTCCCCCAGAAAGGGACAGATGTGACCCAAGAGCAGATTCAGAGGTCTTCTGTAATATTCATATTCAGTGTTCTACTATATGGCAAGGGAAGAGAACAGGTAGCCAACTGGATATCTGTTGAATGTATTCATCAAGACATCCATATGTCAATACTAAAGACATTTTAAGCAGCATGTTTCGAGTTGTTGGAGATTATATGTAGAGAGTTCAAAGGATAGAGTATTATCACTAAGGGCATAGGCCTTCTTAGATGCTTTCAGACAACTAAGTTTGTGTCACAGATGTTGAAATGACCAAAAAGTGACATAAGCTACAAAGCATTCAAGGTTTACTAGTGATAATGCTTTATGACTTATAAATAAAACAATAAATGATATAACCTGTACAATATAAGACTTGACTGGGTCAATCCACACATCAGGCTTCTCCCTAGATACAACAACATTTTTAGGTTGCTGGCCCACTTTGGTGTGGGGACTAAGCTTGTCTACCAGCTCTCCAAGCTCTGCAACTGTATAACCCGATCCAATGCGACAGAAAGAGTGGAACTCACGAGGCTTGCCACCTGGAAAAATATTGCAACTTGAATAGAAAGTAAAACACTTGTTTATGTATACCATATAAACACTGTTGTCTTAATATCAAGACCATAAACAGATGCAAACAATCAGCAATATGTTTCCTACTCAATGTGTAAACCATAATCTTCTAAATCTGTCTGAACATAACTGGGTATCATTGACAACCCATTAAGTTTGATGATAGCATTGTGTTTCATTATTGAAATATGACATTAGAAATAAAAGTTTAAAATTTGTTAATGCAACTACAATGACAATAACTACACTACCACACTACCAGGGTTAGAGTGCAAGCTCTTCTGCACTTTAAGTTGGTTGATTAAAATTAATGCAATTTCTTGTCACGTAAGAAAATATACCATTATAAGAAGTACAGTATAATTACACAGAATTGGACAGAGCTATCTATCCATCTATCTCTCAATGCTAATTCTATTAAGGGAATTATGACTCATAGTACGTACCAGGAACTCCACTTGGGACGGCAACCCCAAGCAAGAAATGTGATAGCACACCTTGGTGTCGGCCCTTTCCATAATACCCTCCAATAATCACCAGGTCAAGCTCGGGTACAAGAGAGTTGACGTACTGTTGGGATACAAGTGGCAACATTACTCTAACAAGAAAATTAGTGGTTAAGTTAGGTATATCATATTATAATTTTACAAAAGCACTGATTGTTGCCCCAATGAACCTGATGATAATTTCAAGGCAATCTTTTCTAGTTTTCTCCAACATTTCCAATAATGTCACATTTACACCATAACATTATTCCTTTAATCTGCTCCATCTAGTTTTCCTTCATTTCAAAGAATTAATTTAAATATTTCTGGTGTACAACAAATCTCAACACTGCTTAATTTTAACTTAAATTTTTTTAAGCAAATTTCTATACAGTCAACCCTCGCTTTACGCGGTCCCACTTTACGCGTTTCCACGTTTACGCGGTACCCTACCGAACTCGGAATGCTCACTTTCCGCGGTGTGTGTACCCTTTTACGCGGAGAGCGGAGCGAGCAGGGTGCGCACAAGGTCGCCCAGTCATCAAAACATTACCGAGTTCTTCACCCGCCACCCACCACAGCCGGCCCAAGTCAGTGATAGTGATAATGATAGTGAGGATATGGACTTATATGGACTTTGAGGGGTTTGACAAAGAGGCCCTGCAAGCCTCTGTGGTGGATAGTGATACAATTGATACAAGTGATACAGGTGAGGGCCAATAATCTGCCCTCTGCCTTGGAACCAACCCCCCATCCCAGTGTGCCCAGCCATCTTTTCTACTAATGTAAGTGTTAAAAAACCTAATGTTATTGATATTTCTCTTAATTATTAATTGTGTATGCATACCATCATAAAATTAAGAAGTTATTTTTACTACAACGTAGGTATAGTGTCTGAAAAAGTGGAGTTTGGGGGTCGGCCCGGTCTCTATTTCAATTAATCCCATATGTTATGTTGTTCACTTTACACGTTTCTCACTTTACGCGGGCCGCCGTGGGTTCAATTGACCGCGTAAAGTGAGGGTTCACTGTATTTGCTACTCACTACCCATAACCCCAAAACAATCAAAAGGAAACTTCTCCACAACTTGATTGGTTAATTAACAACTGAGCAACTCATCAATAATATTTTCCCATACAGGTAGAGTTTGGGTCACTCATTGATAAGGATTAAAGGTGAGTTAGCAACTGGGTGACTTATAAACAAGATTCACCCACTACCAAACATTGAAAGTGATTTACCTCAGGCTTGACTTTGATCCATCCACCTTTGCGAGAGGCTGGCCGGTACACCGAGTCTGGGTCCTTGAGCACAACACCTTCCTCTCTCTTGTCTATGGCCTCATTCAGTACTCTGATCACATCCTCCCTGCAACAGCATATTATGAGAGACTGGTCCTGAATACCATTTTAAAACAAAGGTTGGACAAAATGGCTCATGAACACCCCCAACTAGGAATGAGGGTTAATTTGAAGATCAGTCATCTTTCCTGCAACAACCTCAGCCCTTAAAGAAGAGTGTGAAGAACCCACATTCATCTGAAATTTGGGAGTTTAGGCTTAATTACATAGCAGGAAGCAGGGCCAACTTCTCTAAATACCAAACTCTGCATGTGACCCCAAGACTTGGTTATAAGTTTCAGAGTTATGAGATTTCAATTGCCAATCTCTTTCATAACTTACTCAATGCTAATTACTGTATGCGCCAACTATTGGTTACTAAGGTATATATGCGAATTCATTCCAAATTTCAGTATAGGTACTAGTGAGCATGCTGATCCTGAATCTGTGCTTGCCAGTTCGATTGAAGAGCAATTAGTGGTCGTAATGACACTTGGAAGATTTTAATGAAATTTTTCTCAATGCTAATTACTGTACTCGCCAACTATTGGTTTCCGAGGTGATTGGTTGTTGTTGTTCTCCCACCAAATTTCAAGTATTTTCACCCAAATATGATTTTCTCTCAGACTTGAAATTTGGTGGGGTTAACTTCAGTAATTAAGTACATCCAGAAGAACATAAAAATACCAACCAATCACCTCAGAAGCCAATAGAAACTTGGGAGCTAAAAAATAAGTAACAGAACATACAGCTCAAAGGTAGGGAATGGTTAGAAATACCCCTGCCAGGGAATTACTTGGCACTCATTTTAAATAATTTGTTCCAGAACATTGATGGTTTTTAAAGGGTTCCTGATCCCAGGATGCCAGATAAACGGCCCCATCCCTGTAGTAGACACAAAACCTTGAATGAACCTTACTTGAACTTGATAAAATAAAAGCAAAAATCTGAAAGAACCTCACTTGGACTTGACATATGTTCTTGTAGAGAGCATAACTCGGCCTTCCAAGGGCTTGATGACTGTTTTGATCTTCTCTATTCGGTCACGTAAAGGCAAGTTAGATAGCACCTATGCAAGAAAAAAATATAAAATTTTAGTTTTATAAAATTTAAAATGGAAAAGACTAAGGACGGAATGAGGAAAGCATTAGATGGGAGGGAAATATACATAATGAAAACACAGTACTATACAGTAACATCTCCGTTAACCGGAATCCCTCAAACCCAGAACTCTCTGATAGCTGGAATTAAAATTTTCTCGGAAAATCATTCCCAAAGCTGGAATTTTCCAAAAATTCGGCTTTGGGAACGAATTCTGAGGTTAAAAATTAAGAGCATTTTCTAAAAATATCTTGAATAACGACAAAAGCTAAAGTATTTTGGGGGGAGACCTGACCTAACTTGACTCAATGTAAAGGTGGAAGTAGGGTGGGGGATTTAGTCGTCTCATATTATTGACTTTCTGATGGAATGTCAAGTCACTCTTCCTTGGGTGGGGGATAAGTGGGTCTCATGACCTGATGATGTCTTGAATAAAGACAAAAGCTAAAGTATTTTTAGGGAGATTGTGATAAGTATAAGTATAAATGAGCAAAGTTGTATCCCTTCAACATTATGTTACATAACATCTTAAAATATGGAGTGAGAAAGCAGAAAGGTGTGGGTGACTAGAGAGATGGAGTGGTAAGATTCACCAGTAACATCTTCAGGTCATGAGACCCACTAATCCCCCACCCAACAAAGGATGACCTGACATCCCATCAGAAGGTCAGTAAAATGAGACCACTAATCCCCCACACTGCCTCCACCTGACATTGTGACAGGTCAAGTCAGTTACATGAAAGCCACTAATCCCTCACAGCTCCATTCATGCCTGTATCATAAAGATTTTTAGTTTTTCAATATATTTATTGAACCAAACTTAGGTAAACTATTTTGAATTATTCTAGTAAGCAAACGGAGTTTTAAACGTACCGTATATACTCGTGTATAGTTCGAGTTTTTAAGACTAAATTTTTAGGCAAAAAATTGAGGGTCGTCCTATACATGCGTAATAGTTTTGTTAGGTTGAACCCGTGCATGATGGGAAGGGCGAGGAGCAACTTTTAGCTTCAGACATGAAACATATTTACCATTTACTGCCAGTAAACAATGGAAACGTAAAATATGTACCAATTAGTAATGAAAAGTTGTGCAGTTCCTTCAGTAAATGAAGCTCACCAACTTACAATAGGCTAAATTACCGTACAACGTGCTTTCAGTAGTCTATGTTGAAGTTCTTAGCACAGGCTAACTTATCATATCATATACGGTATCACAGTTCTCATTGATCTACAAAAAATACCGGTAATAAAAACCTTTTTGATATTTCACACTTAATATAATACCCGGTAATCTACTTCAACCTCCTATTGTTTACAACGACGCATGACGCATCACGCACCACCAGCTGTATCAGCTAGACGGTACACGTGTTTTTCGAATCGTTTTCAGTTAAAAAATTGTTATATAACATGTATATTTTTACCTTAACTGTGCCTGAATGAATATATTCTCGGAAATAAATAGTAGTTTTGCTGAAACGTGATGTATTTTAATGTAAAATAGGATAAAATACATGACGAAAACAAAAGATTTTACCTAACCTTCCAATGTTCAAGAGAAGTTACTCGTTTTTTTAATAGTTTTTGGTTAAAATATTGTTATATTACAATGATATTCTATTCATACTGTGCTTGATATAATGCATTCACGGAAATGTAATATTTTTGCTGAAATGACATACGTATTACAGTGGAAAGTGGGATAAACTCGTGGCAAAAACAATGACTTTCGCTTTCTTTCGTTCAAAAGAAGTTACCGTAATCGCTTTTCGATTGGTTTTCAGTTAAAAAACTGTTGTATTACGATAATATTCTATCCTAATTGACTTGAATAAATACTACGATACCATATTTCTGAATATTTTCATTAAAATCCATCAAAATAATTTTCCTTGTCATCGTCTGCAGCACCAAACAGCTTCTCCCAGTCCTCTCCTTGAACAAGGCTAGAGGGTACATGTTTTTCTAATCGTTTTCAGTTAAAAAACTATTACATCACACGTATATTCTACCTAAACTGCGCCTGAATGAATATATTCTCGGAAATAAATAGTAGTTTTGCTGAAACGTGATGTATTTCAATGTAAAATAGGATAAAATACATGACGAAAACAAAAGACTTTACCTAAGCTTCCGTTCTTGAGATGTTACTCATTTTTTTAATAGTTTTTGGTTAAAATTCTGTTATATTACAATGATATTCTATTCATACTGTGCTTGATATAATACATTCACGGAAATGTAATATTTTTGCTGAAATTACGTACGTATTACAGTGGAAAGTGGGATAAAATCGTGACGAAAACAATGACTTTCGCTTTTCTTTCGTTCAAAAGATGTTACCGTAATCGCTTTTCGAATGGTTTAGTTAAAAAACTGTTGTATTACAATAATATTCCCTCCTAATTGACTTGAATAAATACTTGAATGGAAATATACAATATTTTTGTTGAAACTACCCGCGTTTCAGTGTAAAGTGTCGTAATAATAAATGGTAAACAATTTGCCTTCGGCACTCGTGTTTCATGCACGGCGAGCCTCAGTTTATAGGACGTAGAGCGCTTTTACTGAAGGTTTTGTTGTTCCATTACCCTCAAAAACGTGGGTCGAACTATAAACGAGGAATATCATAAATTAACGATTTCTTGGTCAAAAAATCAGGGTCGACCTATAAACGAGGGGGGGAGGGGGTTATAGACGCGTATATACGGTAATTAGAACTACTTTTACGGACTCAGGTAGAAAAACATTCCCTACCTCCCAGAAGCATTCTGGGGATGTGGGCTAGTGTATGTCTATGCAAGATGTATAGTTTAGACACTCGGAAACTTTTCCCAGTAACCGGGAATGATTCCAGGTATAAGGTATTTATCCAGGTTTGAGAAAGTTATCTGGTTACCCGGAAATCTCTCACACCCGAAAGTGCTCTGCACCAATTGTTCCGGTTAATGGGGATATCACTGTATATCCATGAATGAGTTGTGTCAAGTGCTACTGATGAATGATACAAGGTTGTGTGAAGTAAAAGGAATAAACCAAATGTATTGTCTGGAAAACATCTTAACAGTAAAAATTGTCTATACAGTATAAATAGTCTTTGCAATACAGTAACTGGAACCTAATCCTGTTTTCCTTTACTTTAAATATTCATGTACAGTACACCTGCACTGCATGTGCAAATTCCATTAATGACATAACTTTGCATATTAATGGGGATCTACTTTATCCACATGCTTTGGGTTCATTATTTGTTAGTTTTAAAGAGATAAAACAGAAAACAGTAACTTACCTCTCCATTCAGATAAACAATATCAAAGACACAGAAGCAGACGTGCCAGTCACCCTCCTCCCGTAAATTCTTCACATCCAGGTGTTCACCTAACAAAAATATTACATTAACCTCTGTTCAAAGCTTCAATGAATAGCACAGTGACAAGCTAAATCATTGCTCTTATACTGTAGGTATGGTATCCCCCAAAAATTGAAAGCAAATAAATAGAAATTATGCAGAACTTAATGTATCCTCTTTTCTACTGGAGCCTACAGTGCAGCCAGGTGGTCCTAATAATACAAGTAGTTTTCTTGGGGATTAGGGACTCTTCATGATCTCTCCTATAGTGCAAGTCAGGGTTTATCTTTTAGCCCTATTTTGGTACAGTGGGGTATGCTATAACGAACGGATCCTACTACGAATATTCCTATAACGAACGGTTTTACCTATAAAATTGAGAATGCTATAACGAACGAAACTCCTGCAACTAACATTATTTAATTTTTTTTTTTTTTTTACTAATTTATTGTTTTTTATTACAAGTATTAATGATATTCTTTATTTAAGGGGTTTAGATGCATATTTATGCACTTTTTTACAATTTTTACAATTTTATATTATATTTTTCAGTGTTAAGTGGTTGTATTTGGGGGCCTGGAACGGATTAATCCTATAACGAACGAATGCTATAACGAACAAGGTTCTAGAACCAATTAGATTCGTTATAGCATACCCCACTGTATACCAAATAATCATTCCTTCTCATCACACCCCTTGCCTATATGGGAGAAATCACATACAAAAGTTGGCCTTATGAGGCAAGAAGTCATCCAGAGCAGTGGCTGTCCAATCAGCACATTTGGTGCCAGTTACATTCTAGCATCAATGATTTTATAGTTTCTGTCCAATATCTTTGACATCAAAATCAAATCACCACTATGAAATTCAGTGTCAGCCAACAAATCCTCAAAGTGGTAAGAAGAAACCAAGTACACAAGCTGCCTGGTTATGGTCTCCACTAGGTAATAGCATATCAGAATCAATTCTCCATTTCTAACATACACCCTCATGCCAAGTGGCTCTCATAATCTCTTAGACTTGTTGGCTATACAGTATTGTGGTTTTTTATTCTTATGTATGATAATAAAAAATGAGTATTTTCAAACACTAGTGAAATATAAGTAAGTTATAGTAATGTCCTAAAACAAAGAATTTAATTCAATCACAAAATTACATTAATATCTCTCAGTATTGTACTGTACTTATTTTATCTCTTATCGTTTAGTTGTATCAGCCAGCTCTATAAATACCAATCCTAACAAATTGACTGACTGAGACAACTTTTGGACTAGGCCAAAAATGGCTATGGTTACCTTTGCTAACAATACTCTTGTGTGTCTTGCTCCAGCCCATCATCTCCCCATCCAGGATGACTTCCTTTACATGTGGAAGAATCAGTGGGTGAAGGTATGGTGTGAAAAGTCCCGAGTTCCTGTCACCACCAAAATTACTAGTAAACTCATGTGCATTTCTGAAAGAAAAAATAGACAATAAGAAACAATGGAGAAATCATTGCATAATTTGCTTTATAAACTGATAAAATTTGGACCCCTATTGTGGGAGAGGAACAACACAACAGAGCATTACTGTCATGAGAGTTTGTGAGAACAAATGAAAGTGAATGAAGGGAGAGTGTCTGTTTGCCATTGATTCCTGACATCCTGCATCAGCGTGGCAAAAGGTTAGCAAGAATAAATATGCATAAAATAGGGGACGCATTCTGAAATCTCATTTTATGACCGAGGATAGAGCAAATAATTTTACTTATAGGGAATGCCAACCCTTTGTGACAGAGTTTGCCCTTGCATATTATTTTTACAATAGCAAAATATTATTGAATAAGTTATTCTCCTAAACAGAACAGGACCTTTTCAAATTTAGAAATTAAGGTATTCATGTGAATGCTCGCCTTCATTAAGAAAGAAGAGTTACTCGAGTCATGGGTAAGCCCTCTGTCAACCTCTTATACCTATTTGTTTGTTATCCCAACCAGAAAATGGAGATTTCACAATCCTAACACCACTTCCAGTTGCTTCCAGAATATTATAGCCACATGGCAATGATTATAAACAAAACTTTTGGCTTAGAAACTGAACTCCTGCTATGACATATGCTGGAAAAATTTTATTACACTCATTCATTGCGACACCGTATATCACGCCCTTAACAATTGTTTGTTAAAGATAATTTACTTTAATCATTTTTATATGTTACATAATTAGTCTTGAAATTATTCAGTTCACATTACTATATTTATATTTCCTGAATTTTTATCTCATGTCCTATAATGTAGGGCCTTCAGGATGTCCATTACAACATATTTCTTGTCTGCCCTCTTCCTTGTTCTTGCCTTAACAAATTGCTTTTCCCTCCCATGATATAGGCTGCCTGCCTTTACCTAACACAACCATTACAATACGTTTTTACACACACTTTGTCATCCTACCTTCTGACATCCTTCGCATATGTCTATCCAATGTCAGAGTATTTATCTGGAATCCCCTCCACTACTCAACAGTTCACACCCTTGGTCCTCTCAGCCACTCTGATCATCTTGGACATCTCACTAAACCTCTGTTTTGTAGCATTTTTTTCATCATTTACCAATTTTCTGTTGTCAATATATCAATTACTTCTAGGCTTTTCTAAATTTACTAATCATCCCAATAACACTCAGAACAAAATATTTACTGTACAGTATTTTCATTACAAACTTACCGAGAAAAATACTTGTAAACATTTCCCTTTTTGTGGATTTGTGATCTTTCCCCATCATATTTTGTTTCAGCATAAAATGGTTTATGGTCCATTTGTGTTTCCACTTTGTCAAGCACTGCCTGCTGTGCTAACATGGGACGGAATGCAGAAAACAATGAGACTTCAATCTCATGGAGACGTATGGTGGGATCACGGAGAGTTTTGCAGACCTGTGAAGAGGACAGTTAGTAAAGATGAATGAAGAACTTCAGGGAAGAGTATGTGCGCAGAAACACTTTTATAAGAGAACCTTCTACTTCAAATCATTTCATCAAAATCACTAGATACTGCTGGTAACAAACAGAACAAATTATTTTTTTACCATCAGGTAGTAAATATACCAGTAGACCAGTTTAAAATCTGGTACAATATGTATAAAAATACATCATATTTCCTATATCCTTTGCAGCAGTACTGATGAGGTCATATGGCACTTAATTATAATGAATTTGGTTCAACACCAATGGTTCCTGCTCAAATATAACTTCCTTTACTGATGTCATCATCATATTTGCATGTAAGTTTACATATTGCTTCAAGATTAAGGTACAAAACATATAGTAAGATTAAATACTTTACAGCATATTTCCTAGTGCCAATATTTAAAAAGTCAATTACGCTGTGCCCGTAAGTTCTAAATCACCTTTATACACATTTTCTTAAAAATATAGACCATCTTTACTATATAGACACATTAGTTTCCACTTTCCCCCCAAAATGTCATTTGACATAAAAAATACCACTGTACTGTACTACCTAAATTTTTGGTGCTTGGGGGTCATAAAATGGATTTTCTTTAAATTTCATAAAAGGTACCACTTTATATGCTGATTAACCTATTGAGCGCCAGCCAATATTAGACATAATAGACACCCCAGTGCCGCCCCCCCCCCAAGAATTGTTTTTTCCCAAAATCATCTCAAAATGGTCCAAGAAACATGAAAATCACAAGAATTCCCGCATCTGTATGGTAACACTGCATAGTGAAGGTGGTGGAGGAGGTAGGAAGGGTCTCAAGGCGTCCCTCACCATGGCAATCGGCCGAGTCATGCTCCTCCCCCACGCCACTCTGACAGTTCTCCACTTTCCTAACACCACTTGTGTGTGTGTTTCTTTTTGTTATATTTCTGGTTATTCCTCCCACATCAATCATTATGCATGTTAGAAAATTAATAAAACACCACTATGAGTTGATATTTTTTTATGATGTTTGCTTATCTGAGTCCCCCCAATTGCATACAATTGGGTATTATACGTGCCTGTGAATGGTAAAGGCTACGAAGGGTGTCGTGGCAGCACTACCACTCATTGTTGCCAGGTTCACCTCATATTATTACACTAATAGTTCTGAAGAGTGTGATAGTCCTTGAGCCATGGTGCTACTTTACACTCATTACAGCAGTAACAAGTATCCTTCTTCTTCTTTGCTCTTCGTGACGTGTTGTAGCAGACGTGACACTGCTTCTGTGCTTTCTTCATGCCAGGTGTTGGTGGTAAGGTGGAAGGAAAGTGGCAACCTCTGAGGTGGAGAGTGTGTCACGAGCTGGATTACGAGGTGTTACATTTTGTTCTTGCCAGTACATCTGAAACATCTCCCTCACCACTTCAACAAGAAGATGAAGAATCTGACAATCGATTGGGGACATTATCCGACCCAGAAAAATCATCTGGGGTAAGCTCTGATGTAGCATCATACTCAACAGCGAGTTGTGAGTATTCAGCCCCAGTCAACCTGGAGCGAGCGCGGTGTGAGATGTTCATGCATGGTTGGCTTGAGCGTGACTCACTGAGCGATGAACACTGTCGCCGCTGTGGCATGCCGAGCGTGGAGCCACGTGGCCCAGGAAGCAGTATACCAGTAGGCAAGGAGGGAGTGACAATGTAGCTCTGAGCGCATCTCACTACTACCACAAATATGAGTTCAGGACAATGCTAAATCTAGCCACGTACTTTTACGGGATTAGCGCTGGTCGTGGCTGGTCAACAATCCCGTATAAGTACGGGATTAGTGCTCGACAGGTTAAGGAGCTGGGTTCACAATTTAAAAATTCAAATAATTAAAGATAATTTAAAAAGTGACATACAGTGGTCCCTCGGTTAACGATCACAATCCATTCTAGAAGGTTGCTCGTTAACCGAGACCATTGTTTCAATGGGTTTTTGGGTAATTGGTTCCAGCTCACAGAAAATTGCCTAAATTCAACAAAAAGGGTAGAAAAGTACACTTACTTTGAGGTGTGTATGTAGAAGGCTCCTGGATGATGATGATGGGAATTAGAATGGAGGTGGAGAAGGGAGAAGAGAAGGCATTGGGGTGGAAGAGAAGTCACCCCATGGCGCAATTTCACCCATAAAATTTTAGTTCTCTTGGTGTAATTCAAGATTATTTTCTTTAAATCAACACTGCACTGCATTATATATTGTCAATATGTAAAATAAATTTCAAAATGGCCAATAATTTGCTAGCAAACACAGAAAAAAAGCGTTTAGTTGAAGAGAGTCTCAAGCAAGGTGTTACCTCTACTGAAAAGACAGAGAGACTGGCGCCTGTTTGGTGTGTTGACAGGCTGGATGGCGTGCATAAAACTAGTTTCCTTACCTTCAATTATGTTCAATAATTGTTAAAATGACTAAGAAATTTAATATTAAACTTTTAAAATTATTGAATAGTATAAACTTCTTGATATTTACTAAAATGGTAAGGAATATAAGCCCTAGAACCGATTACTGTATTGGCGGACTAATACTACAGCTGGTGGACCGCCATATGCAAGCGAAAACATGTTGAGGTCGGCTCGTAAGAAACTCATTAATCGAGGGATTGCTCGTTAACCGAAGTTAAGAATCTTATGGAAGGTAACTCGTTAACCGAAATCTCGTTAACCGAGGGACCACTGTAATTACTCATTAGCATTTAGTCTTGAGTGGCAACTTTTGCTTGTAAGACCCTTTTAAGGACTCAACAGGAAGGCATAACTAATAAATACAATAGTCCCAGACATCAGTGTCTAACGTTCCCCTGAATTATGAGTTTATAGATTCAATAAGGCTAAACATGAAACTTGATAATTTCAATGGAAAGAGAAGAAAACTTGCAATTTCGTTTACCTTCTCAAGATTGTTGTTAACATCATAAAAATCCTTGGCATCTGGGTGCCAAGCATTGAAGATAGCACCTTGTCCAATGCCAAGTCTCATGTCCTTCAACAAAACACGCATTAGCCACTTCTGCTCAGTTGCTGTCATACTGCGTAGCATTGTCATCAATGAACGTTCCACCTCCTCTGTAAAAATATTATGTCTGTCAACCAAGGTACCTGTATAGGTAAAGAATATAGCAATACTGAATGTCCCAACATCTAAAAGTACATTTCTCGTTTAGCGCAGGTAGTATAGAGATGAATTCTTTAGTGTAATTCTGCCAAAGTATCTTAAATTTTTTTACAATCTTCAAATTTACAGTATTTTTTTTTCCAAGTCATCTTCAATCAACCCAAAGAAGGAAATTGAATCCTAGGTATAGTAAACCTTCATTGTTACCCGACTTGATATGAAATGATTCACATGATGATGAACGGATACAAGACATTTTACATTTTTTTACATGGTCTCTGCTTTAATATCGTTTAAGACAATAAATCATTGGCCACATCTCCAAGCATCAAGATGTTAGCACACCATTGGCTACAATACTGTATATTGTCCTATACTATATAATGGATGCGTTATCTTTTAAGAAGTTCTCCTGTAAAATACTTCAAAATAAAATTCATTCATAATTAATATTGAATAACATATTATAAACGTATCAAGATTATGGTGTAAATTTACTTGTCAAAATATGAAGAAATCTCAGAGGATGACACAAATCTCATTCCACAACAAGGTGATTAACACTACTGTATCTTACTAATCTGACCATCATGGACCTGATGGATACATACAAAACATCAATATTGTACTTTTGTTGACACAGTATCAGTCATCATCATCATCATCACTTTATGGCCATTTTCCACTTTTTCATGGGTTAGCCATGACTGTCTGATGGCAGCTCTCCAAACTGTACAGTCTCTGCAGCCTCTCTCATCAGGTACTTATTGCAAATCCTTTCTCACAACTTCTCCTCATGTCATTCTTGGCCTATCCCTAGCTCTCTTTCTCCCCACATTCAAACTCTTGCATCTCTTAACCCAACTGGTCTCATTCATTCTTCCCACATGCATGAACTATCCCGGCCTACCTCTATGCAAAATCTTACCAACACTCCATAAGTCCCCATACCCAGCCACCCCACTTAATTCTGAACAGGGTTTCCTATCTCACAAAGTCACAATACACATCCATATCACTATTCTCATTTCAACTTGCTCAAGTCTACATAATATATTATCCTCTTTAACCACCCATGTTTCACTACCATACTGTACAACATTACACTTTTCACATTGGTTGCAAACATCCTTTCTTGCACATGGAGAAGGTCCTTTTGCCATCAATAATGCCAACAAGTGTCCTAACTGAACTAGCTTCAGAATCATTATCTACTCGCTTTCCTGAACATTCACCCTTGCAGACATTTAAGAGCTGACTCATTATCAGTGGTGTTGAATATCTTTTATTCATATTTTTCAAGTGAATTTGGGATAGATATACAGTATAGACCTTTTTATCTAAATAGAGTAATCTCTTTCTCAATTCTTGAAGTGAAAATAATGTTGAAACAAATTTTTACTAGTGTTATGTGTGAAAGACAAGTATGACACTGAATTTTCAAATTAAAGTAAATACAACACTGTTTACAGCAACACATCTGTTATAGACTAAATTTAGGTACCTGCTATAATCTGATACTGCATCATGAGAGGTGCAGGAACCTAACTTCATGATCCAGACTGCTCCCACAATATATACAGTAAAGTTTCCCTTAACCAGATTAACTGTGAACCAGCCAGTCTTGTTATTAGAGAATTCCTCTAACTTTAAAATCTTACTTTGATCAGATTAAATTCCCCCTAAACCAGATTTCAATTACACAATTGTCAAAAAATAAACCCAAAACAAAGGGGGAACAAAGATATGAACTGTACAGTACTGAAAAATTAACACAAGTAAACAAGTTGTACTGAACTTTTTTCATGTAATGAGCGTGGAATGCATGATGAATACAGAGCAAGACAGGGATGCAGTCACCATTAGAGGATATGAGGTTGTAGTGGTTCATCTCAGTTGCAAATTCTAAACTGCATCATGAAAGGCAAAACCACAAACAGATACACCCCTAATTCATCCATTAGTACTTCAAGATTTCCTTTCAATCTCAAACACTTTTTCTTCTAACCTTTCTTGCCCGAAGGCTTGGCCGGTACTTTGGCATGGTTAAAATAGTTATGTATGCTCACACTACACAATGGTAATGCAAGAGCATGTAAGTAATCCAATTTTCTATACTTTGTGAAGTAAGAATTATTCGAACACTGATGGCATTCACGGAATAATATTTGTCTTGAATTCATTAAAAATCATCTCGTATCAATACAGGATGTCTCAAGTTATTTTACTGAGCATTTATCTCTCAGATTAAGTTATGGATATTTTTCTACTTAAAATGTAGACATACAGGAAAGCCTCCGATAACGACGGTTCTACTAACAACGATTCATATTTAAGACACTGGTTAATTTAGGACCCAATTAAATTTATACCATTATTTTCTTCATATTTATGACAAAAATATAATAAAAATAAAATAAAATAAAATTACCTTTTCATATAGTAAATAATAACTAAATTCCGCGATGTATATTTACAAAAAAAAAAAAAAAAAGCCTTGCGCACGGAGGCTGCCGGGCTTGTGAGTGGTGACGCCAGCATCACTAGTATAAACAGTCGCAGCTTGGCAGGCCTTTTGTTTTCATGCATCTGAACAGGAAAAGATGAAAAACTTTCTCAGGTTTTTTACGGCATTTTTGAGTCCCTATTTAACATGAGCAAGAGAGCAAGTGATGGTAGTGCTGGTTCAAAAGCTAAAAGAAAGTGTAAAAGCTTAGCCGAGAAACTAGATATGTTAAAACAATATGAAAAGGGTGAGAGGTTTGTGGATATTATGTGGAGCAAACAATGAACACATTTTCTGATGTGGATCCATAAACAGAACGAAGCATTAAAATTAACAGGGATGTGAAAAACACATACGACCTCTACATTAAGATGTACAGTATAGTCTGGTTTTACGCAGTTAATCAAACCCATGGAGGTTCGTGTATAAAGCGAAACGTGTAAATAAAATAACAGAACCTATGGGATTAATTGAAATAGAGACTGAGCCGACCGTCACTCACCTTTTTTTTTTGGCTATCGCTGACTCAATACTGTACATCTTAATTTTAAGATGGTATGATGGCTTGGGTCAGGTAGTTCAGGGCCTCTCAGGGGTGGTGGGGGTCCACTGTGTAGAAAGAAAAAAAGCACTGGTTCCTGTGCACGAGTGAATATAGCGGAGACAATGAGGCTGACGCGGCGGCGGAAAGCTTGGGCGGAAGGATGCCTAGACCAAACACAGCGCGCGGCGGAGGGGGTGCGTGGGTTGGTAAGGATACATGACCCAATCACAATCTGCGACGTCACCGGCGCGAGTCTGACGTCAGAGCTGACGTCAGCGCTCCGCACCTCGCCTTGATGCTTGACGCGTACATGATGGAATTTACCGTGTAAATAATAATTATCTCTTCTGACAGGTGGAGCATAAATGGCCTTCCACGTAAAACCGGACTAAACTGTATAATGAAAAAATAAAGCAGCTGTGCAAGGTTCTTTTGACAGCTTTATTATTCGAAGGCCTAAACCATCAACTTCAGCTACACCATCAACTTCAGCATCATAAGCAGCTTCAGTAACAACTTCAGGTTCAGTAACAGTTTCAGCAACAGCTATGACATCTTTATGGAAAGCTACAGCTTCAGCCAGAGTTGAACCTGGAGAATTCGTGATCTGATTAAAAACTCGCACAACATTCATTGGCTGTCCTTATGTTTTCGACTTTACCACCATTGGTGAGTAGAATTTTTGTTTTACATTAGTAAGTATTATTTAAAACATATATGAACAGTAATAAGTGTTGCTTTCATATTCTTATGTAGAGAAATGACGATGTTTTCACATATACGCACTTACATAAGTTGGCGTTCCTAATCCATTTCGCTTTTTTTCTTTACCATTAATGGTTAGCTACTTCTATTGTTCCATTTATTAACATTAAATAACATTACTTAAAACATACATATTAATATTTTTACATTTATTTTACTAGAGCTACAACCAGGGTCTTATTTTCTTCAGTTTCTTATGTAGAACCATCGTCACGGGTGTAAACACTAACGAAAACAATGACGTCTCCCTATGGTACAGAGCCTGTCAAAATACTGTACCTGCACCATTGAGGGCTTAATAACTAAGGTGTTGATAGTATACCTACAGGTAAAATGGCTACTCACGTCATACAGCATGCCCTGATGATTCGAGGACCTCGATTATTCGTGGATGACACCCTGGATGTAACCAAGAATGTCTAAGGGTAGTTTTAAAGTTGCTGGCATTTTCGTAGCTGGGACGGGGAGCCATTCGTTCTAGAGACAGTAATTTCTTTTATATGTATTGTATATACAGTATATGTGTGTGTGTGTGTGTGTGGACACACACAAAACACATACAAAGCATGGAGTTGACTTGAGGGTAGACTCACACATTTTTAATACATTTGTTTCTGATTACAGTATTTGTGAGAGAATTTTCCCATTATTTTTTATTTATGTGTTTTGTGTGTGTCTCTACACACACACACATATACAGTATACAATACAGGTAAAGGATATATTTGACCTAAGAGCAAACACATACTTTAGAGGGCATATACATTTCTTTGCACACAAGTAGAAATGTACCCCTCCCCCCAGTCAGCAACTGTTATTTGGGGATTGGCAATTCGCGGCCATTTTGAGAACCTAGCACCCGCAAATTTGAAGGGCATGCTGTATAAAAATCAGCTTAATAAAATTAACTAGAAAAATACCATGCTTCTTTGATGCATAATTCTCTGCAATGGATGTAAGCTGCAAGTCAACATCATGCAGGGTCATGTCCCCTTTGTCAGGGCAGCGGTTCTTAAGCACATAGTATGCTACCTCAGCAAAATCGCCACTTTCACTCCCAGCTGATGAGTTGGGCTTCCTGCATAGAAAATGGATACAAGAGTGAATATTATCATTAAAAAATTTACCAACATTTATAACAGAACTTAACAATATTAATAATCTCTCATGATATGGAAGGTACATAGCATATAACCAAGGTCACTTTAAAGCAATGGTTCTAACACACACACACACTTACTGTGCGTGTATATATATATATAATATATATATATATATATATATATATATATATATATATATATATATATATATATATATATATATATATATATATATATATATATATATATATATATATATATATATATATATATATATATATATATATATATATATATATATATATATATATATATATATATATATATATATATATATATATATATATATATATATATATATATGTAATGAAATTATGTATGCAGTATCTACCCGATATTATGAGTAGAACAATAACATAGCTCAGGCTCGCCTGCTCTGAGTGCTACTGGGCGGTGAGTCAGTGACTTGGTTACACAATTACGCAATAACTCCAGTTCGCGATCATTTTGCCTAACTATCATTTTTTAAGGAATACATCCCAATCATTAAATGAGGAATAACTGTACAGTACAAGTATTACACTATCTGTACAAGAACTGCAAAACCCAACCTCTCAGTCAAGTAATTCAGTTAGGAATATTACTTCCCTTGGAAATGAATGAAAATTTTCAGATGGAAAACTGTCAATTCTAATACCGTATCCCAGTGGAGGCGTCACCACTGAAAAAACGAGAAGCTCTCGATTCCCACAGTTCTATAAGAAGACTACCCTAGTCAGCAGGCAAGAAACTTAACCTATGGGTATCATGATTTTCCTCTTCCAAAGATTTTCCAAGAACAGGTCCATCTTAAGTGTACAATACAAGAATTATTTTTTATTAGCCAAGAGTAGAAGGACCTTGAATCTGAAAGTTTGTTAAAAATTTTCTGAGTCACCTGCACCCTAAGAGAAGGTAAAAAAGTATCTTACAGTGGAAAAACCTTTTTCCAACCTAAAATATAAGAATTTTTTACAACTACAATACAGTACCATAATATGAATAGAAACACATCAGTAGGCATCCTTTTAATGATAAGTGACTGACTAAATATCCTTCTTTAGGCTCCATCTCACCTTCTGAGAACAGTAAAGTATCTATCAATTGAAAAGTTTGGGACCAGGAGGGTTACATAAAATGATACTACCTATGTACAGTGGATACTATCATGACCATGTGTCCAAGGAATGCATGAAATAAACCACAGTACAATACAACATTAGTGTTAGTTTGGTTATATTATTTGTTCCTGTAAATACCTGTATGCTAACTAACTTCATTAATCTCTAGCACTCTCAATGCCATTAAACCAAATAACTTACTCCACAAATTCATGAGAAGCTCCTCACACTCCCTTACCCCAACCTGAGCTGCAATACCATTTGAAATTACAACTCGGCAAGTTTGTGGTAAAATGTCTAAGTTAATTGCAGTATATATTAGTCAACTGAGCATGCAAGGGCATTAACTAACACATTAAAAGTTCCAGGGATATGGGAGTACAGTACTGTACAATAAATTTACCTTAGGTCTTATTACTCTTTTTCCATTCTGGATTACTTGTTGTATTATACCTTTGCATCTGACCTATACCTTGAGTACTATTTAAGTCTGATAAAGTTATGATAATATCTGTAAGGCAAGTTTTTAAAAATGTCTGGTAACAAAATCCCATTTTAAGTTAAGTGATACCAATATGAAGAGTCAACTGTGTCAGGGGGTTTGAAAAGTGAGGTAGAATTCACAATAATTTTACTCAAAAAAGGCTTTAAAAGAGCACAGAATCAACAATGCTACCCCAGTTTGTACCAAAAGGTTTGTTCAACTTACTTCTAGCAGTACAATATACAGTATCAGCAGCATTTACGGTAGCGTATTGATAACAACATCAGGGGTTGCCTTTGTTCCTAACTAACTACAAAAGCATCTGAAACATAGAATGTACAGTACTTTGGATAGTTTTACCGAAAATGCAATAGTTTCTGTGCATCATTGCCCTCCTTCTTCAGACCCAGAATGCGGATGTACAGTTCAGCCAGCTTGCGCTCTTTGACACCATATGCCCCTCTTGCTCGGTCTAGTGCTGGTAGTAATATCCGCATCACAGGGAAGAAGCTGTCTGGCTGTCCAAAGGAAATAATTATAAATAAAATACATATTAGACAAAGTTCTCTTTTAAACACATGGCCTTGATAATCCCTTGAGCCACTACCACTGGAAAAGCTAAGGGATTGTACTTCTATCCTTCCTTTCTGCCAGATTCTATATGTACATCATGTAATATATCCCAGAATGTCACTTACTCCACACTATTTTGGAGAAGACATTTAGTCATGGAAAGGTAGCAACCCTGTGGTATCTTCTAACAGATGACCCATGATGAAATCCTTAATAAAAGGCAGACCACCCCTATCACAGAGAAGAAAATGCAGTATAGGAAGAGGAAAGGAAATTTAGCTGGGACTGAACAGTATGTGTGGATAGCAGTAAGGCCATCAGCAATGCAATATTCAAGATTTTTAATTATTTATTGTTCATCATTTCACCATTTACCAGCTCATTTAGCCACTCAGGTTAATGGTCTGTTCTTTGTTGTTTGCTTTACAGTCCAGTGTTTGTAGAGAATGAAACTGGATTAAACAGAGAAAACTGCAATGTTTGGTAGAGTCACACCTCATACCTATCTTGGCCCGGGATTGAACCCATGACATAGTTGTGAGAGATCTGCACAGTACTGCTGTACCATCAACACCACATTTATACAAGTAAAGTAATTATCAAATCTTACTTCACAATACAGTAATGCACTTTTGTTCATCAAGGAAGGACAAATCCAAAGTTCATTTGGTCCATTTGGTCAGTGTTAGGAGAAGAATATATCACTTAAACTTGGTTTCCTATCTGACAATAAATTACCTTTTGTACATATTTATCCAACTCTGGATTGCAAAGTCTACAAAAATTTTAATGTAAACTAATGTACAGTAATATCAAACTGATGTATATGAGAATGAAATCTAAACTTACTGCATTTGGGTCTTCCTGCAGTTTCTTTTTAAGAAGTTCCCGGAACTGTCTGATAAACTTCAGTAGCATTTCTTTCTTGGAAGCTCGAACAGAAGACTGAACCTTGTCGAGCATGCGGCACACATGTGACCATGGTATGAGTGATGCTATTATGCTGGACCCCATCCTGCTGAAAAATAAATTGCAACATCTTACTGAGAGACATGTAAGATGAATATCCTGTTTAAAGAAATGAAAAACTGATCATAAAATTCACTTTTCCTGGTAGAGCCATTATATAGTCTGTTTGGCAGCTAATATATTATGGACTGTTTTCTCAAGAGCTTTTTGGACTGAAGATCATCCTCAATTATGTCAGGAACCGTAAACTGTTTTTGAAAATATGGTCGAACCTCGAAGTGTCGAATGTTGAACTAATTTTTCCAGTAAGAAATAATGTAATTACGATTGATGCGTTGTCATAGTACGAATATTGTTTTACTGTGCAAAAAATATTAATATGGTACTCCCAGACATCTTCTGTGTCCAACATCACTTATCGAGATAGTCAATCGAAACATTCCCAGAGATTGAGCAGTGGAGGCATGTGATTCACCACTTTCAATTGGCTTTTATTATATCTAATTTCATCTCATAACTATGGCTTACTGTATATGAGCAACCTACTTTGCACTATTAACAGAATCACAATTTCTCTTATTACTGGCCATGGTTGAGATTTTGCAATAAAAAAGTCTATGTACACTGCCACTGTAAACTACTATTCATGGAAACAGACTGAAAATGATGCCATGGACGAATGTAGGCACCCCTAGTATACAGTACCTCGACCGCATAAAACAACATCGAATAAGTGAGTTTGCCCAGTCAAAACTAAGGCAGTAGGTAGTAATTGATAATAGTAAAAAAAGTGAGTTGGATGAAACTTGAACAGTCGAATATTGGGACTTGCCTGTACAGTATTTTGAATTTTGTAAAATTTTGGTAATATCTAAGTACATTTTTGTATGACTGGATTCATGATATATGAGTGAATTGTGGTAGTAAGGAAACACAGAATGAGGCAGGAGTTTTATTCTCTATGTTTTGGCATTATGCCTTCCTTAGAGAGAATGATACAAAACGACTATAAGGGTAATACAGTACTCAAGAACACTGTACCCCAATTACCTCGAGAATATCCAAAACCAGTGGAGGAACTGCAAATCGTAATATATTCTTTTAGTGATCTTTTCATTTCAAACACAAATATACATGGACACGCTAGCACCCAGCAATGCCACTTTGACTTACAGTATTTACATTCAATGACCTGTATGGTAGTAGATAAGAAACCAACCAAACTTATCCTAAGATACCCTGTAGATATGTTATTTTAGGGTAAAGATTTACTTTTACACAACCATGAAATCTTAGGAATTTTATCTTTGCAATCAATAATTTAGACAATTCCAAGGCATTTTTCATATATGACGTGTCCCTCACAAATGGCCTAAAAGTTACCTAACCAAACCCCCTAACCGGACCAACCGGAATATATTAGACGTTTTTCAAGGGAAATGTCACAGAAGAAAAGTGTCTTAGAATTGTCTTAACTATTGATTGCAATGAAAATTTCTAAGATTCCACAGTTGTGTGAAGTAAAATAATACCTATTTTAAGTTAGGTTTGGTAGATTAATTTGTTTTAGGTTAAGTAATATATGGAAAGATCACTGTAAAGTGTCTAGCAACAGATGAAGCACAAACCAAGAAAACTCACTAAAATAAAATTTAAAACAGTCAGAATTCCTCCACCTGGTTTCCTGTACTATTAAGTCAAGTAATAAGTTTTCTTCTATAGAAGAATTTCATAGTTACTGCTTATGAGGGGATAGTGACTAGAGTACGTAATAGACACCTTTCTTGGGTAATATTTTCCTTATGGTCCATAATCGCTTAGATAATTAAAAAAAAATTTCCAATACAGTACTTTAGAAAATTCAAAGACTTTTTTTTTTGTAATCCTGGAGTAGATGGCTAACACAAGAATGCATTGTTCGATTTCATTAATTTTTTCCACAGATGTTCCTTGGATGATATTAAGTAATAAAACCGATACCGGTATGACAATGCACAAAACCTAATACCCTGTAGAATCTGACCTAACCAGTCAAAAAAATATGGTAATTTCTGTAACACAACCACCTGAAGGAGTACTTTAATTTCATTCATTTTTTCCACAGATGTTCTTATCATTACAGTAAGTATTCTAAAAGAGGCGACAACATTTTATGTTAAAGAAGTATTTAGTTTTTAGTTTTCTCTTTGCAAGATCATAAATCACCTGTAGTGGGCAGAGTATGAAGGTTGAGGACAATTGCGGGGTAAAATACAATGAAAAACTGATCATATGACAGTAAAATGATGTCTCTATGTGCTTTGTACATGAATAAATTAATTATTTACTGTAAATATCCCTCCAAAATATCTGCTGAGTCACCACGAGTAGTCTGTTTACAACAGATGCACCCGGTTCATGCGTACCCTCACACCGACAAAAACATAAAAATTACATCATGACACTTCAACAGTTGCTTTCATTGGTACTAGATATCAAAATACGCAACTACTTTCTTGCTAATATGGCGGAGGGTCCACCCACCCCCCGGGCTAAGGAGTTAGGTAAGGCCAGGTAGGTTTCTTTGGTTGGTTAGGTCAGGTTCTATTAGGTTTTACTATATGTCGCCTCATTTAAAATATTTACTCTAATGATGAGAACATCTGTGGTAAATATGAACAAAATCAAACAACTTCTTCTGGGCGCAGTGCTGTTCTCAAACATTACTCAAATTACTGGATCTTATTCATATTTACGATATTCCGTGAGTGACTAGGAAGCCCTCTTGGGTATTATTGCTTTTAAAGGACCCAGAACTTTTGGCTATTTTTAAATATACCTGAAATGTAGTTTAGACAATTTTAAAACACTTTTCTTCGGTGAATTTATGGTAATGCAACGGTCTTTCTCCCACTGTTATTAATATGTATTTCGTAATGTTTAGACATTTCGAAGACATTTTTCTTCTATGATATTTCCGCTGGAAATTAAGGATAACCGAGATATTAATTTTTCCAATATTATTATATTTGGTCAGTCACAAGTGATGCCATTTGTTGTTACATCTAGCAGAGAAGCTCTGACCCCCTTCAGCCAGTGCTCCTTACCTCCGTGTTCGCTTCTTAAGCGTCTACAGTGTATGTGCGAGGGTGGTGTGGGAGTTGCTTATTGGCTATAAGCGAAAGGAGACTTATTATTGGGTAAGAGTTTTTTGTCTTAGCCAATGAACAATGCATGGGTGCATCGGGAGTGGAGATTTGAATTTTCAGTACCAGATAGGCTGAACAGCTTGAAAAGTTGTGCCGACATTGTGATGGAGAATATTTTACATCAATTGCCGAGTTTCATCAGAAAAATAGCGAGGCCATTTAATTTTTGAGAAAACATGGTGTATTACCCAACAACATTACTTGTCCAAAGTGTAATAATCAGTGTATACTATGTGAAGCACAACACACTTTGGCCTGATTCTTCTTCAGATTAAGGTGAGATGTGGGGGCATGAACAAAGGGGGTTTCAGGGGGGGGCAGAGCCCCCTGGTTAGGTTAGGTTAGGTTTTTTTTTTTTTTACACATAAAAGGTTACATTACATTCAGTATTAGAAATGTTTTTTCCTGTGTTTTTTATGAGTTTTGAACGATTTTTGCCTTGTTCTCCATTGGAAATCACCTGTTTCTCTGATTTACCCAACAAAAAACTCCAATTTCCCAACATGTTCCTTGTGTGTGGGATCTAAAAAACGAGTGATTTCCTGCATAAATTAATGTTAAATTCGTTCGAAACTCATCATAAACTATAGGAAAAACATATCGAAAGAAAGAACGGTGCTTTTCTATAAATTTACCTATTCTTCTCTGACATTTTCGTCGGAAACAAAGAATTACCGAGATACAGCTTGATTATTATTAAATAATCGTCTGAAAAAAAATAATTTTTTTCTTTGTGTAATCTCTTGATTTTTTTTTTTTGCGATATCTCGGAAATGAAGGTCATGATAGTTTAAAACCTTCAAAAACCATCGGGAAAACATGAATATAATTTTGTTGTCCTAGTGGAGTGGGACAAGTAAAAGCAAATTTAACCCCTCTTGCGGTTTAAAGGCGGACTGCCCTTTAAACACATGCAGTACTAACAAGGCAATAGTTGATGACTACTAATTCAACAGTACATGAGTAACAACTAAATCAAAACAATCATATACCTGAATAAAGTAAATCACCTTTGTGTACACCTCAAATGTTTTCAACCTGCTGCCACCGCCTGTATATGCCATTAAACCGTCTACAAACTTGATGGAACTTGATGATGTTTGTTGTTGTGGCTGACGAGTGACACCGTACACTGGAGGATGAATTAACGTACACCAATCTCTATTGTTGTACACATCATTTAATAACTACAGTATTTGTTGTTGTCACAATGTAAAACCCGCGCTTCAATAAGTAAGGTCTTTTAGCGCTTAACAAGGTTAGTAATTACATTATTGCAAGATCATTTTAAAATTATGAAATATAAAATTCTCTTAGTTGCATGCCCAGCACTTGCCAACAGTGCGTAACAGAGGCTAACGAGGCAATCAGTGATGAAGAGAATAAAAGTAAAAGATAAGCAGGGATATTTACGTATTTATCTTATTTTCTAAATGTTCATAGCCAGTGCCTGTATTAATCTAGAATGTGCGCTTACAGACCTTAGTTATAGCGGCATGTAAATGCATTATAATGTCAACATCAAACTGCAATGATGATTGATGATGAAATGATGATGGGGAATTTGGGGACGAAATGTTTCATCGTTCCACCGCCTTCTGAAGTGTTATAAGTAATATAGTTACTCCTATCCGAGATGCAATATTGGGAGGGGTGTCTGTGCTGAATGTGTAGGCAGCTCAGTGATTAGTTATGAGGCAGTTATTATAACTTGTAAGGGCTGTCGTGTTTGATGACTATAGCAGCCACGTCATTGATTCTTGTCGACGTGTCACGTTTATAAATAAGAAATCTTAGAAATATTAGGATTCCAAATTTGGGGTGTCCCCCCCCCCCTTGGCCGGCAGACCAGATGACGTCATGCACGGCGAAGGACGAATTTTCGACTCCAAGTGGGTTGACTTGGTTTAATTAGACTGGTTTAGAGCTTCTTCTTCGCTTATTGTTTTTTTTCCGGTTTGTGTTTTACCCCTTTTTGCATCTCATTGCCAGTGTGTGTGTTGGACTTCTCTGCAATTTACACATTTTGTTTCCTGGAGAAAATTTGGAGGGTGAAAAAGGTTTTTACAGTCATCGGGACAGCCATAGGGTGGGTACCCCTTCCCGATGAAATGTTTTAACGATCCCAATAGCAAACCCGATCCACTGGGACTGCCTTTGGGTAAATGGCGTCTCTAAATAACCCCACTCGACGGAGGGTTAAGTGGGGTTAGGTTAGTGTGCTTAACTGTGATTTTAATCCAATTCTGGCACTGTTTGATGTCCTACTTGATATGTTCCTCTGAAATATCGTAGATGAGGAAACATTTATATCTGTTTTAGAGGAAAGTATCCTGAGTCTATGTTAGTTATCATCGATTCGAAAGTCTACCAACATCACGAGGAACCCATAGTATACATTCACTTAACACTGATAAAGACATCAAGACGAATAAAGGGATCATGTGAAGTTTTAGAACCGCCACTTATTTCACCCGATCATTAAATACCCAAACGCTAAATGGGTCAGGTTAGGTTAGCATAAGAGTGTTTAATCATCAGGTGAATTAATGTGGGGGAGGTAATCTTCATGTGATCCGAAAATGACATACACTACTCATCTACATATAACTAAATAAAATAATGGTTGCCCCTCGTATAACGAGGATGGCCGGCCCAAGGGCCACCTAGGCTAGGGTTGCCATATCTGAACATTAAAAAAAAGAGGACGTTCCCGAAGACACCCCCCCCCCCAGCACACACTTTGAAGCGCATATGTAACCTTGATATATATATATATATATATATATATATATATATATATATATATATATATATATATATATATATATATATATATATATATATATATATATATATATATATTATATATATATATATATATATATATATATATATATATATATATATATATATATATACACACACCAGTATCGGTGTACTGTATTGCATTGTGTTTTTAATGTAGGCTAATATACAACATACATGGTATACAAATCTTAAAAATAAAAAAATAAAATTACCTTTCCTTACGGCTGAATATCTTCTTTAGCTGCAGTCTTCTTCCCCCACTGGGTGTGTGACTTGATGTGCCCATGCATACTTTTCTGTAGATCGGATCTTTTTCAGTATTGGCTGATTGCTCTTTAGAAAGGTATAGAAGTCACTGCAAGATGTTTCTCGGAAGTTGTATTGTACCGTCTGAATGCCTTTCATTGTTTCAACACCCAATTTGTTCCTTTCCTTTGTCCAATGACTTTGCATCAGTGAAAAAACTCTTTCTACATTTGCATTGTGAGATGATATAGCAAAGAAGAATTGTGCAATTCTTAGGACTTCTGAGTGGCATTCAATGTTCTTTGATTTTTCAAAGTATCTGGTCCATTTTTTATGTGTTGGCAGATTACTAAATTCTTCATCACTTGTAATTTGACACAAACTGCTTCAGGTTACTAACTTGGTCAAAACACTTCACATCATCAACTTTTACCGCCTTATCAATCAAATATTTGACAGCTAAGTTGACAACACCGTACAGGCGTACACGTGACTTACCAGCTGACGAAAACTGAACGAGATCTCTACGGTTTCCACCTCCCCTCTCTCTCAGTCTCTCTCTCTCGTCATTACAGTTTCATGTTTTTTTTTCCGTGGAGAAAATGATGGAAGCTGAAATTCCGGACTTTTGAAGAATTTAAAAAATTCCTTTCGGATGAAGATTTCGAGACCTAAATGGAGGACATGTCCGGGAAAATACGGACGTATGGCAACCCTAAACTAGGCGTGAATTTGTTTAAGGTGTAGAAGCTGAAGTCAACACAACAACCACACCCTAAGTTAACGAGTTGCATGACCCAGTGTCAAGGAATAGTCCAAGGAGACCGGACAACTCGCCAACTGGACTGGCTAATCACTACCCCGGAATACGATCCGCAAATCGATTAACATCCAGGTTCCCAATTACTGCTGGGTAGACAAAGGAACACAACTACTGTAAATATAATATCCCAACCAAGTCCATAGTTTTGGCCTACTAGTTATTTACCCTAACTCTACGTCAGTGTTCCTAACAAATGATCTTCTTCTAACATCTTTATTTGTGAGTGAGAAAATTTCGTGTGTGTGTTCAAACGTGTACTTACTGCATTGAAGCCATTAGTTCAGTATTTTGGTGCATATTAGAGTAAAAAGGTGGGGTGTGTGTGTGTGTGTGTGTGTGTGTGTGTGTGTGTGTGTGTGTGTGTGTGTGTGTGTGTGTGTGTGTGTGTGTGCGTGTGTGTGTGTGTGTGTGTGTGTGTGCGTGTGTGTGCGTGTGTGTGTGTGTGTGTGTGTGTGTGTGTGTGTGTGTGTGTGTGTGTGTGTGTGTGCGTGCGTGTGTGTGTGTGTGTGTGCGTGTGTGTGTGCGTGTGTGTGTGTGTGTGTGTGTGTGTGTGTGTGTGTGTGTGTGTGTGTGTGTGTGTGTGTGTGCGTGTGTGTGTGTGTGTGTGTGTGTGCGTGTGTGTGTGTGTGTGTGTATGTGTGTGTGTGTGTGTGTGTGTGTGCGTGTGTGATCAATGGTAAGTAAGTGGCTCTTTGTTTCAGGTCAGAATCCAAACAGTAAGTGACAAGTCTCTCAGTGCATGTTTAACTGCCCACCTGGACGGAGGTAGTGCTACTGTCCAAGGCTATTACGTCCAACACACAGGACGGAAAGTAGTGGTACTTTCCTCTTTAGTCTCGACCTACAATACAGAGGAGAAATGAAGTAGTACTGACCCTAGTTACATCCTACAACACATACAAAGGAAGTAGTGGTACTATCCTTAGTCTGAACCTACAACACAGAAGGAGAAAATAGTTGCACTGTCATTGGCTAGTTGTTACAACACAGGGGAGGGAAGGTTGTGGTACTTTCTCTCACTACTTCCTCCACCAGACAGGACAGAAAGTGCTGCGTGGCAACTGTCTGAAACACGAGGAATGAAGGCAAGTCGTTTCGTCTTACTCATCAAGTACTCATAACATCTAGATTCTAGAGTCTGCAGTTCAGTTCGGTCCATCATCACAGACCAGACACAGACTAATAACAGACCAGACACAGACTAATAACAGACCAGACACAGACTAATAACAGACCAGACACAGACTAATAACAGACCAGACACAGACTAATAACAGACCAGACACAGACTAATAACAGACCAGACTAATAACAGACACAGACTAATAACAGACCAGACACAGACTAATAACAGACCAGACACTAGACACAGACTAATAACAGACCAGACACAGCCTAATAACAGACCAGACACAGACTAATAACAGACCAGACACAGACTAATAACAGACCAGACACAGACTAATAACAGACCAGACTAACAGACTAATAACAGACCAGACAGACTAGACTAATAACAGACCAGACACAGACTAATAACAGACCAGACACAGACTAATAACAGACCAGACACAGACTAATAACAGACCAGACACAGACTAATAACAGACCAGACACAGACTAATAACAGACTACACAGACTAACAGACCAGAACAACAGACCAGACAATAACAGACTAATAACAGACCAGACACAGACTAATAACAGACCAGACACAGACTAATAACAGACCAGACACAGAAAAGACTAATAACAGACCAGACACAGACTAATAACAGACCAGACACAGACTAATAACAGACCAAACTGAACTAAATAACAGACCAGACACAGACTAATAACAGACCAGACACAGACTAATAACAGACCAGACACAGACTAATAACAGACCAGACACAGACTAATAACAGACCAGACACAGACTAATAACAGACCAGACACAGACCAATAACAGACCAGACACAGACTAATAACAGACCAGACACAGACTAATAACAGACCAGACACAGACTAATAACAGACCAGACACAGACTAATAACAGACCAGACACAGACTAATAACAGACCAGACACAGACTAATAACAGACTAATAACAGACTCGACACAGACTAATAACAGACTCGACACAGACTAATAACAGGTAGACACAGACTAATAACAGACCAGGCTAGACTAATAACAGACGGAGCACAGACTAACTAACAGACCAGGCTTTAGACTAATAAGACTAATAACAG